TGATTGCTGGATTCTTATTTTGGCTGGGAAACCGAGCTCCCCATTGCCCCAGAGTAGAGGCTGCTGCCCCCAGCCTCCCTGTCCCTCCATGTGCTCCGTGGCAGTGCAGCTTTCCACACTTTCCCTGCCAAAGAGCAGACACAGCATTAAGACATTACAGGAGGCCCCAGAAGGCTGGGCTGGAGCCAGGCTCCTTCATTAAACACCATCCCTATCAATGAATAACCAATGAGGTATGAAAGGCTCCATCACTTGGATGCCAGGCACATGCATCTCTTTTGCATTTGACTTAAGCCAAAGGAAAATCCCAAGTCCACTGCAAACCATTTTACACATGCCCAAGGTGAGCCCATTCTGGGTATCTAAAGATGTTCCTCTGGGGAGACGTCCTGCTCTTGCAGGTATCATCACCCCCCACGGAGGAACTGTCAAGGGAAGCATCTCTGGATGCTTGTACTAAGCCATAATCACACTGGAGTCACTTGATTGTCCTTTGAACAGCCTCAGACAGAAGCAAAGAATAAATCCAAGTTATTAAACCCTTTAATCACTTCTTGTCCCCAAGCACAGAGAGAAGGGAGGAGGTTGTAAGCGCCATCAGCAATGGAGCCAGACAAGAAACCTTGCCATGGGGCTGAGCAAGGGTGACGATGAGCCACCAGCGATGGCCACCTCTGCCCTGCACCATCTGGATGACCACTTCTCTTGAGCTTTTCATCCTAGTGCCTCCCTCCACCGTGATGAGTATCGTGGGGACAAGAAGTGCTCCTCTGCTGTGCAGGGATGCTACAAGGATAAGTGGCTATGAGATGGAGAGGCACATTACTATGGTAACAGGAGTACCACGTACCTGAGACAGACCTGGAGGAGAAGGTCTTGGTAAAAAGAGCAGAGGTGCAGAAGGGCAGGAGACTCGTTCTAACAGTCAGGCTGATGAGTGAGAACACAGAAGAGATAAAGCAGATGAGATGGGGGACATGGATCACCCCTGCTGGGAGCCTCCTCCCTGCTCAGGAGGGACAGATGGACATGGGACCACCTGCAGCACCCCACTGTGACCTCCCTGGGTGGGAAACCAACAGGAAAAGCCAATAAGTTGGGCATTACTTGAGGAGATGATGTCCCCAAGCCCATCTACTGCAGAGCACATTCAACTGCCCTGGGCACCATGTGCAGGGCAGGGAAGAATAAGGCAATGATGTGGTGAGGGAAGGATGGTTTGAGACCCATGGGTATCCTGGAGAGCCTGGGAAAGGTAAGGCTGCTGTCCCTGCCTTGGGGACAGCTTTGAAGTCTATTCCCCACCTTACTCCTCATCCCTCCTGCCGCAGATTCACCAACACATCGGATGTTCAGTCATTGAGATGAACCTTCTCAGCACCGCAGGCCACTTCATCTCCCCCACTTCCCCAGTGACTCCTGTGGGAATGAAGCACAAACATGTGCAGGAAACCCCCCCTCTCCCTTAAGAGGTTTCCTCACGTGGACAATCACTGCTGGAAGCACGAGCCTCATTTCTCATCCAGTTCCCCCCAGCCACCACTTCCCTCCCATACCTTTATTCCACCGGACACTTTCCTCTTCCAGAGCTGCTCACACTGAACAAACCCCCCTCACAGTCTCCTTTTTGAGGAGCTGAACAGCACAAACTCTTGTTCCCCTATCAGACACTTTCACCATCCAAAAACGAGTGTAGAAGGATCCATCCTGCATCCCTCCCGAACGGTGATGCTTCATAAATTGGGTTTCTTATCCTCACCTGCACAAGAATTGTTCACACAGGACTTGCAAAAGGGACATTTTTATCAGCTAGTCATTGAAGGATTTCAAACGCCTTCATTAAATGCAATTCATGGGGGTTTGAAGCAGCCGAACGGCATCAGCAACTTCTGTAACAAGCGACACAAAAACATCTTCTGAGTGCCTCTTTTATGTGGTTTTGCCCATCATCATGGCAGAGCGATAAAGTCCTCTAATTTATTTCCACTAATAGACCCAGGCAGCAATTGATGTTTTTTATGAGGGTGAATACGTCTGTGGGATGTACTAATGTTTATAGGCTGGTAAACTGATGTATATGGAATAGGCACTGTTGCCGCTGGGAAAGGCCGGGTGTTTCTAGGAGCGCGAACACCATTTGCATTGATGAGGTTAATACACGTTAAGCACTCCAGGTCTGCAGACATTTCTCCCTACTCCAACCCCAGCTCTTGGCTTTGCTGCAGCTTGTCTGACCCCACCAAGCACAAACCTCAAGGGATGTGGTTGCTTTTGCATGTCCCAGCCCCAGAAGTAACAGGTCTGCTCATACAGGAGGAGGTGCTTGCTCTGCTCAGCTCCCACCATGTGAGGTGATGGAATTCAACAGGAAGGGCCCAGCATGGACGTGCACATCACGGTGCAGGGCAGGAGCATCCCCTGGATGTGTCTGTTCCTTCCTGATGGGCAGTGATCCTGTGGAAGGTGCAGAAGGGACTTTCTGGCTCCTGTATCTCTGCCTGTGCTCAGAAGCAGCCCGATCGTGGTGGTGTTTCAGTGCCCTCTTGTGCCCAAGCACAGAGGGTTTATGGAGGAGCTGAGCCTGGAGAGATGCTGATGCAAAGGTCTCCTCAGTGGTCTGGGGCAGAAGAGAGAAGATTTTCCATTGGGATCAACCCCCTTAGCACGATCTTGACCTGAAACACACGAAGAGATAAAACCACATCAAAATCAGGCTTAATGCTTTTAAATGAGTGCCTTGGATGGCAAGAGAGGTTGCCCATAACTGGGAAGGCAAAGGGGACTTGGGTTCCCCACTGCAACAGGGGTGGGAAACTGGGGAGAAGGGAAAAGCAGCCCAAATCCTCGCCTTCTTCCCTGGAATGCCCATCACTGCTGCAAGGGCCCTGCTCATGGCAGCAGGATGCCTTGTGCCTACAGTGCATTGCAGAGCACACACAGGCAGATGAAACTGCTCTTGTGCTGGCATTCCTTCATCCTAAACCTTTTGGTTATCTTCCTTATTCCCAGAAGGTTTTGGGGGTTTAGGAGCATCTCTTACATCCCAGCAAAGAAAAGGGGGGTTCTTTGGGTTAGATTAATAGGAAAAGCAGCTCTGTGCCCTGGAGAACGGTTTTCGTATGGGAAACCAGTGCCCAGCACAGCCCACTCTGAAACAAAGCAGTGATTGCATGGATGAACCATGGAGCCATAAGGATCAACACCCATCATTGCTGCTGTCCCATGGAGCTGAGAAGCCACCAGGAATGACACTGGGATGACATTCTGCTGAGGACTGAAGCCTTTTTTAGAGGGAAAGGGCTGAAAGAAGCCTTTTTTGACCCATTAATATGTAGGAAATCGCTCAGGGGAAGGTCTTCAGCAACAACCATGATATAAAAAGTCTTCACCATCACCTTCAGATGGGTTTTGCCTGTGCCCAGTGCTCAGAACACTGTGATGGAGCCACTGGAGAGGAAAGACATCATCACTTTGGCTGCCCACCCCTCCTGAAGGGTGATCAGCAGCTCTGTCATCACCACCAGAGCAGGGTTTTGTGTTCCACTGCATGAGGGGCTCAGTGCCGGAGGGAAGAGCCGTGTTTTCATGATGGCTGTGGTGGAAGAACCCGGGTAGGGCACCACCAACTGCCCCCAAACCTCACTGCATCCCCATTTCATCCCCCACGGGCACCGTGTCCAACAGCGGCTTGCAGATGTAATCCCACAGGAAAACTTCCTTTTTGGGTGCTTTGCTCCATCTAGTGCCCATGGAGTGAGGCTAAAAGGGGATAAGGGCTGGTGGCACCTTCAGCAGCCTCATCTGGGGAGCCCCTGTGCCAAGGAAACCCTTTCCCTACCCCTGCTTGTTGGGTTTGGTGTCCATGAATGCAGCCCCCACACACACCAAGGGGGCTGGGGTGGTTTTAGGCCACCCCATGGTCACCCAGCACCACAGTGGGGCTGGGAGCAGCAGGGAGACCCCATCCCCTTTGGGGTGCCCATTGTCACTTGTGATTTCAGCTGAAGATCAGCAAAACTTCTACTTTCTTACTTTTAAATGAATGCCAGAATGTCCATCTGTAGAGATGTGCTGTGACCCCACCACAGCATGTCTTCCATTGCTTCTTAACCCCAAAATACGGATTCAAGACAGCAAGACACAGGGATGCCCCATGGTCCAGACCCCAAAGCACCCCATCTCTTCTGCAAGCAGCTCGCTGGGAAAAGGCAGCAGAGCTCTGCTCTCGTCCTGGTCCCCGTGTTGGCAGCCAGAGGGGTTGAACTGGGCACGGGCAGGACCCAGGGCTGGGTGCTTGTGTCCTGCCTGGGCAAAGCAGTGATGGCAAAGGTCAAAGAGGGAAGATGAGGTGCGGGAAGGGAGCGGGGTGACTGCTCTGGTGGTGGAACTGGAGCAGCAAGAGGGGAGGGGAGGGAAAGGAGAGAGGAAAGGATGCAAAGAGCAAGAAACGGGACTGGGTCAGCAGCAGCCGGGGGTGGTGGAGCCAGAGATGGGGGCGGAGGAAGGGGGAGGAAAGGAGAGAGGTTGAGCTCCTGCCCCATAGGGCAGCACAGAACCAGGTTCTCTGCCAGGTCCTGCCCCACACCAAGCTCCACGATGGGGCCCCAGCCCCACACGGGGCTCCGCACGCAGCCGGGCCCGACCCCGCAGCGACCCCTGGCGGCCGGCGCAGAGCTCCGCAGGGTCCACCCGCGCCGTCCCGCAGGCGCGCACCGCCCCTGTGCACGCGCCCTCGCGCAAAGCACCCGCGCTCTCACGCGCACGCGCACGCTGCCCTATGCGAGCTCGCACACGAGGGGCGGAGCCTCAAGGAGCGCGGGGCCTGGGTGGGCGGGGCCTCGGCGCGGTGGGGTCTGGGGCGGAGACTTAGCGCTGGGGCGGGGCCGTGGACCCAGAACGGGGGCGTGGCCAGCGGGCCCGCGGTCGCCGCCGCTCCCGTGTGACCCGCGCGGCCGGGGCCGTCCCCCCCCCCTCCCGCCATGGCCGGCCGCGGCTCCTTTCCGCTCAGCCCGCTACCCCCCGCCGCCGCCCCGCCTCCCCCGGGGCCCGGCCCCGCCATCATGCGCGGTCCCAGCCCGGTTCCTGCCGCCGCCGCCGCTGCCGCCGCCCCGGGATACCGGCCCATGGGCCCGGCCGCCGCGCAGTACCAGGTGAGGCGGCCTCGGGGGCGTGTGTGGGGGGCGATGGGCGGGGGGGAACGCGGGGGACCCTGGGGGGCCCCAGCGGGGTGTGGGAGGTGCTGGGCCGGCCTTTGGGGCCTTCCCCGCGGCTGCCGGCACAGGCCCGGCCGCGGCTCCGCAGCCATTTCCCGTAGCGCGGCCCTGCTCGGAACCTGTTTATCCGCCTGAAGAGGCAAGGCGGGGGAGCCGCTCCGTGCTGCGGGTGCGTGTCCTCAAGGAGGAGCTGAGGAAATGGGGAAGTGGTGGCTGGCGCCTGCTGGAGAGGGGAAAGTAAACCCGAGCGGGAGTAAAGTGGGAGGAAACCCCTCGTTTTCCAGCCCGATCATAGAATCCTGGAGTCAGCCGGGTTGGAAAACACCTTTAGGATCATCAAGTGCAGTCGTTCCCCAGCACTGCCAAGGCCACCCCTAACCCATGGCACTGAGGCCTCGTCTCCACGCTGTGTGAACACTTGCAGGGACGGTGCCTGCAGCCCTGCCCTGGGCAGCCTGTTCCAATGCCTGAGCACCCTCTGGGGCAGGAATTGTTCCTCAGCTCCATCTAAACCTGCCCTGGTGCAGCTTGAGGCCGGTTCCTCTTGTCCCATCCCTTGTTCCTTGGGAGCAGAGCCCAGCCCCTCCTGGCTCCATCCTCCTGTCAGGCACTTGCAGGCAGCGATCAGGTCCCCATCTCCTATTAGTCCAGCCCTGTTAGAAGTGTATTCTGACCTACACTCCAGTTTCACCTCCCTCTCGCACTCCTGGGTTCACTCCTGGGCACACAGTGTTAGGTTTGTGGTGTGCAGCAGGCTTGGAATGGAGGAGCCCGGTTGTGCAACACGTTCTTGCTGGTCGCTTCCTCCAGAGCTCCCACCTCATTCCCGTGAGTTAGAACTTAAGGAATAAATCCAGTTGGAGGGATTTCCAGCTTGTGAAGCTTGCGTAACACGGGGTGAGGAAACAGCTTCCCCCTGTGGCCTTAAAACCAGGGAGAAGCCTGGTGCTGGAGACCAGAGGTGGCACAGCCAAGGCCGGTCTCAGTGTGAATCGATGGCGTTCCATTTGTCCTGACCTTCCGTGTGTTGCAAAATCCAGCTGGGAAAACCGTGCCTGACGGAGCAGCCGGGAGCTGCTCGCTGCTGGGAGTGAACAGGAGAACACACGCTCGCCTTTCCCCCTCCCTGTTGCTGGCCATAACACCGTGCTGGGAGCACACGGCCAGCGGAGGGTGATGTGGCCAGCACCGTGGTGTCCGGCACTGTTAAACCAGTGCAGTGGGGATGGTCAATGGGCACCACCAATGGTGAGCACGGTGCCAAGGGATCCACAGGGTCTGCCTTTTGTTTTGCAATTCCCAGGCTGGGGAAAGCAGCCCGTCCCAGCCCAGCGGCCATCCGGTGGTACCCGGAGGACTTCGTGCTCCGTTATGCCCTGGTTTGATGAAGAAACCCCGTTATTTGGGCACTAGGAGACACAAGAGGCCTCATGCGCGCCAGCGAGTGCTTCGGGGCTCTTTAAGCACTGGGTTTTCCAACATATGCTCGTCCTTCTGACATCCGTGCGTGCCTGCTGCTGATTTCCTGGCGGCTCCAGCAGGGGATTCATGAGGATGACTCTCTTTGGGAGTTCCTTCTGGGAGCCAGTGTTTCCAGAGCTTCCCAGTGCTGCTGCCATGCCTGCAATGGGAAGGAGAAGGGGTTTGTCCAGGAGAAGAGTGTTGGGCTGCTTGGTGCTGGGTCTGTGGACAGAGCCCCCATCCTGGTCCCTATTGCTGGCTTCACAGTTACCTTGTGCTGGTGCTTCTTCAGTGGTGCACAGAGGTGGCAAAAGGGTTTCATTGGCACTCGCTGGTGGGAAGGAGCCTGGTTTCCATGGGACAGGAGTGCTGTTGTCCCAGCACTCAGTGACCCCATCCCTGGGCAGGCAGCAGTGTGAAGGGGAGTTGTGCTTTGTGGACAGCGGAGATGGAGAAGTTGCTGTCTGGAGCCAGCTGAAAGATGGGGTGGCCTGGACGTGCTGGAGAGGGTGTAGTGATCCCAATCCACCCCATCTGCTTGGGAGCAGGGAAAAACTGTTCCTGCTCATCGGGTGATGGGGATTGGCTTGGAGGGGACCTGGGAACAACAGCCAGGGCTGGAGCTGTACCAGAGGGATGCTGCTTGGGCCAGGTGACCCCACCCTTCCCAAGGGAGAGGGTTTCCAAGGCAGGGTTCATCATAGGCTGAGCCTCCAGTTAATTGAGTGCTGATACAAAGCAGATGAACGCCGTCCTCTTGGAGCAAGAGAGAGGGAGGAAGGCAGCAACAGAGCGTTGTGGCCTCTGAAACGCTCTTAGTTTCTCCTGAGGGAACGTGAATGGGTGGACAACATCTCCAGAAGTTGCTGTTGAAGGCCCTCACTTCATCTTGCCCCTTCTCAAGAGCTATGGGAGCTGTTCCCTGGGCAGTTGAGCACTGCAGCAGCACAAAGGCAGTGGTTTATGCCAGGCTCTTCTCTCTGCTCTTCCTGTCCATGCCTCCAACCTGCCAGTTTCTCTTTCAAACAGGAACTCAGCACCTCTGTTCCTTGTTCCTGCATGCGTTCGTGCCCGTGTTAGGACTTGAATCCTTGTGACCTTTCCTTTCCCTGGCCTGGCAGCATCTGCAGCTCCAGACCTGAGGCAAGTTTGTCTGGACCAAACATCTCCTCTGGTGCCTGAAATGTTACCAACACGTGGTCTAAACCTGCTCTGTGTCTCTCCCTGTTGCTTTGTCCTTCTCCCTTTGATTTACTACTTCCTCATCTACTGCCTCCTGCAGCCTCTCCTGGCTCAAAACACAGCAGCTCTTCCGAGTGGGGCAGTCTGGGGGCTTGTGGGAGCAAGACGCTGCCTGCAACAGCATCTTGAGAACAGCCACCTCCCAGATGAAGATCTCCACCAGCACAAAGCCAGGCTTCTCCTGGCATTCTCCCAAGAGGGCTCTGCTCACAGATAACAAAGAGGGGGAAAGCACCCTTTTGGGGTGTGCTGGAGGGGCTCACTTGGTCCCAGTCCATGTGAAGCCCTGGGTTGAGTGGTGGCTTCTTGAGACCAGCCTTGCAAAGGAGCTCAAACCCTGTTTGTTTCTCCATCTCTCCTCATGGGATGTGCTGCCGTGCAGGGAGGGACTTGCAGGAAGAGCTGTTTTTGCCTGGCACCTCTCCAGGGCTCTGCTCCCAAAGCCCCGGGCGAGGATGCACGTGAGCTCTCGCTGTTAGTGTGTACAGAGTTGGATTGTGCCTTTCTGGCCAGAGCACAACGGGTTGTGCATTGGGAAGAGCCTTTTCCCCTTGCTGGGGAGATGTGCAGGGGAGAGCTGCAGCCTTGGGAGGAAGATGGGAGCTGTGTCCTGAGTTGCTGCTTCTCTTCAGGCTCGCTCTCCAGCTTCTTGCAGATCCATCCTGTGATTTACTGCTCCCCTCGTTTTCCTTTCTGCTACCAGCCTTCAGTTTCTGGGCTGCCCTTCCTCAAGAAGGGGCCTTTGGCAGGCGGGAAGGCTTCTGTCATGCCAGCAAACATCCATTGGGAAGCCTTCCAGCCTCCCATTGGATTCAGCTAAAGCTGACTCTGAGCAAAGCTCCCCAAACACAAATGGCCTGTGCGTTGACCTGGGATGAACCGCTAAACCACAGCCAGCCCCATCCGCTCCTTTGGCTCTGGCAGGGAGCAGAAACAAGCTGTTTTCTGTCCCATTTCCAAAGGGCTCTCTGCAGGGGAAGGCTGGATGAGGTCCAGCTTGTTCCTCAGAGCTGAGCTTGCTGGGTTTGCCCTTTGTCCACCTCACTGGCAGCAGCAGTGGGGCAAGCAGGGGAGGACGAGGACCCGGAGGAATGGGGCAGCAGCACAGCCCTGGGTGAAGAGGGGTGGACAGAGGGACAAAGAGTGTTAGACAGGAGTGAGCTAAGGAAGGGCTCCTTGGCTTGAGCTGGTTGAATAAAATATGCTGAATTTAAGCCCTCTTGCATCCTGCTCATTTCCAGGGCTTCCCAAAGGGGATGGAGGCAGGTTGCACCCACCAGGGCTGTAATGCTGCATTGAAGGCTGCCCTGTGCCTGGGTGGGCTGTGTCTTAGGAGGGGCTGAGGCTCCCTGGGCTGTTGAAAACAAGGCAGAGGCTGGTCCTCTTTTGCTGAGAGGTTTCTCCATTCCCCTTAGTTTGCAAATCTTGAGGGAAAACTGCATCCATCTGTGTGGAGGGTTCTGCATTCCCTTGTTTTCCTCATCCAAGCAATTCAACGCGGGTCCCTGGGAGGCTGAACTCACCCCCTCCAGCAGCTCAGCTGTGGCTGATGCTTCTCAGATGTTTGCAGAGGTGATCTTAAGGACTGAAGTGTGACAGATGCATTCATCCTTGCACTGCGTCTCTCACTGCTGACAGAGCTGTCTTCTCTTCTTGCAGCCCCTTGTCCCTCCAAAGAGCAGATGGACACACAGGACACCTTGCATAAGGTGCTGTCGCTGATGTGGAGCTGGTAAAGAAAACCAGCCAGCCTCCAGATCTGGGCTAGATGAGGAATATGACCCGTGGAGTGGCAGAGGGAGGCAGGAGAGGCCTCAGGGCATGGTGGTGATGATGAGAGCTGCCCTGGCTGAAGAACAGGAGCTGGCCATGGCCACGTCACCTTAGTCCAAGCAAGCTGTTGGCAGTGTTCCCTTGTCGGTGCGTGTGGGGATGGGGTTGTGTTGTCCGTTGGCAGGTAGGGAACCTCTCAGAGCTTCACCAGGTTCCCTGTGGCACCAATCACTGTCTTATGGGGGCTTGAGGAGCACCCAGGGGCAGAGATTTGCCCAGAAGCCATCTGCCTTCTCCATGCTCCTGGAGGCTCTGGGGTGTTGCAGGTGACCTCTTGCACCGTGCTGCTTTCCTTGGGGCTCCTGAATGTCTGCTTGGAAGTTCCACAGCTCCTCATGGCTTATCTGTTCCCCAGGAGCTCTGGTAGGTGAATCAGCAGGGCTGGGGAGCACACTGCTCCTGTAACCACACTGCAAATGGTATTCACGCAGTACCTCTGTGTTTCAGTGCTGCCAAGGGTGTGGATCTCCGTGCTGCCTCTCCTCCCAGCCCTGCCCTGGGGAGCTCCTGATAAACCCGGAGAAACCGGGTTCTGGCCTCGTGGGTTTTGGTGTAAGAGGAGGTGCTGGTGGCTGCGGGCAGCTCTTGGCCGTGTGGAGCAGTCCTGGTTGTCAAGAGGAGCTGTGCGAGCGTGGCTCATCCAAAGGAGAGGAGCAAACCCGCTCCAGCCTTGTAGCAAGGGCAGGTTTGTGAGCCCAGGCTCCAGAGCTGCTGCTTCAGAGCCAGTACTGGGTTGTGTAATGGGCTCAGCACTTCGTGTGCCTGGTTTTGAACTGCCACGTGCAGCACTCCCCCTGTGACCCGCTGCTGCAGGACACTTGATGCAGCACTTGGTATGGTTTTGGGGCTCTCCAACTTCCAGAGACACCAATGGCCTCCAGAGCAACTCGAGCTCTTGGGTTTGCACTCAGCAGCTTTGCAGGGAGGAGGTGAGTGTGGTTTGGCCCCAGCTGCCATCAGACAAACCCTCCTGCCACACATCTGAGCCTAAAACCTCATCTCCGTCTCACTTCTGTCAGGTTAAAGCCGTTTCCCATCGTTCAAACCCCTTCCCCAGCTTCCCTGTTGGCCTCCTTTAGGTATGGTAGGGCTGCCTTAAGCTGCTCTGGTGAGGTGGCTTCGAGCAGGGAGGTGCGGTGGAGGGGGATGTCCTGGCACGCTGTGGAGCCTGCGGCACAGCAGAAATGTTGCTCTGCTGGCTCCGTGGCTCTCCCAGCCTCGTGTCTTGGCAGCAGGGAGCTGAGGATCAAAGGATCCCTGGAAGCTGTTGGCTCGGGCTGCCGGTGCAGCAGGCTGGAGCGTGTAGGGGCAGCCAATGGGTGGTGGGGTGCTGTGACTGCTTGCTGAGGGTCCCAGGGGGCTGTGGGTGCTGGCACTTGTGAGCCGGCAATGTGGCTGCTGTGTTGCCAAGCTGCTCTGTGCCAGGGGATGCACATGGGCTGTGAGTGCTGCTCTGGGTCAGGACCCTTTGCAGGGGGGTTGGATGTTGTGTTGAGGCTCCTAAATGCCCCTTCCAGGTCCCTGGAGGGGGAAAGACAGGAAGGGTTCTGGCAGGGGGTGAGCTCTCCCCTCCATCCCTGCACCCAGGAGCTCAGCTTCCTTCCTCATTCCCAGAGCTATTAGGAAGTGGGATTGCTCCACTCCCCTCCCAGCAGTGCTGCTGTCTGGAGGGGAACCCTCTGCACAGCACCTGATGTCCCCAGGCTTTGCAGGCAATAGTGACCCTCGCGATGCTCCAGGTCCCACGTCTCCTGCTGTGGTGGTGGCTCAGGGCCATGCATGGTTTCAGAGCTGTGCTTGCTGCCAGGCTGGGCTTTCCCTGTGCTCAGTGCCTTCTGCTCATCCCATCACTCCTCCTGCAGTGGGAAGGCTGCAGCTCCAGTTGTTCTTCCCATTTCCTTTCCCTGGCCCTGGCTCACACCTTGGAGCAGGATACAGCTGCAGGAATCTCACTGGGAAGAAGCAAGAGGGCCGATGGCATCAGCTGGTCCCCTGCAGAGCTCAGCTCCCCTTGCAGGGCAGCGTTTAACACATTCCTCTCTTCTCTTCCCCACCAGCGCCCCGGGATGCCGCCCGGCAGCAGGATGCCCATGGCAGGCCTGCAGGTGGGACCACCAGGAGCCCCCCCATATGGAGCAGCCTCCCCAATGAGACCCGGCCTGCCACAGTCCATGATGGATCCCTTCAGGAAGCGCCTGCTGACCCCCCAGGCACAGCCCCCGCTGGCCACACAGAGGAGAGGGTAAGGGGATGGCACCCACAACAGGGGTGTTCTATGGGGACGGGGACAGAGAACACTCAGTTTGCTGCTTCTCTGCGTTCTCATCTCTGTGCCAGTAACCAGGCAACCTCCCTACAAGCACTTGTGCTTGCCAGCACCAGCTCCTCGGGGTCTTTCCCCCTCTACTCTGTTCTTGTGAGACCCCACTTGCAGCACTGTGTGCAGTTCTGGTGTCCCCAGCGTTAGAATGACACGGAGCTGTTGGAGCAAGTCCAGAGGAGGCCATGAGGATGATCAGGGGCTGGAGCAGCTCCTGTATGGAGACAGGCTCAGAGCACTGGGGCTGTTCAGCCTGGAGAAAAGAAGCTGTGTGGAGACCTCAGAGCAGCTTCCAGTGTCTGAAGGGGGCTACAAGGATCCTGGGGAGGGTCTCTTCATCAGGGACTGTAATGATAGGACAAGGGGTGATTGAGATGAGCTTAGGCAGAAGCTCTTCCCTGTGAGGGTGCTGAGACGCTGGCACAGGGTGCCCAGAGAAGCTGTGGCTGCCCCATCCCTGGCAGTGCTCAAGGCCAGGTTGGACACAGGGGCTTGGAGCAAGCTGCTCCAGTGGAAGGGGTCCCTGCTCGTGGCAGGAGTTGGAGCTGGAGGAGCTTTAAGCTCCCTTCCAACCCAAACCAGGCTGGGATTCTAGGATTCCCAGGGTGGGGTCTCTTCGTCCTAACAGATACTCAGGCCCTGTTCCCTGCCCTGAACACAGCTGGCTCCGTGATCCCTCCACAGGCTATTGCAGCCTCTGCACAGTGACTGCGCATCCCAAGCAAGCAGGGGATTAGGGACAGCTCACCATGGAGCAGACGTCACCAGCCAGATAAGGCTGCAGCTCATTCCCAAGGGCTGGCTGCATGGATCAGCTGGGCTAGCATCCTTGCTCCCAGATGGCTGTGGATCAAGGGATTAGGAATTGCCAGCTGCTGATGGGGTGGCCAAACCCTGCAGGGCAGGAAGCATTTATAATGCATCAGGGGGAGCTCAAAGCAGTGCCCTGGCTCCCTCTTTAGCTGGAGCTGCCCTCCCAGTGTGTCCACAGGGTAACCGCTGTACCTTGTACATCACTGCCCTGCTGCTTCCCTGCTGCCAAAGGAAAGGGACTTCCCTCTGCCCCATGCACCCTCACTCATGCAGCAGAATGGGAGGAGAGTGTTTCCCTCTGTATCCAGGCATTGAGCAGGATGGGGATGTGGAATGAGGGTGGGCTCAGGCTCACAGGGTGCTGCAGAGCATGGGGTGGGAAGAGAGGACAGGGCTCTGTGGTCTCACAGGAGAGAGCCAAACTGGCTCTGGGCAGGGCTGCAGCCATTCTGTGGCCACTGTTTCCTTTTTACCCATGAAGATTTCAGCCCCACCATGGCAAGGTTGGGTTGGTTTTAGCTGGATTTAAGTGGGTTCCTGGAAATGGGCTTTGGTTTGTACCTCATGTGATAGCCATTTCTAGAGAGGGAATACAGGAACAGACAGGAGCATGCTGCAGCCCAGGCTTTGCCTTATACCACCTTCTCCTTGCTCCTGCCTTGCAGCACCTTTAGCAAGAGGTAGCAGCAAAGCAAACTGACCCCAGGGGCTGGGTTTCCTTCCCTGTGAAAGGCTTGAGACACCCAACATCTTCCCCCAGTTATCTTGGCTGGAGTGCAGGGAGCTCCCTGGGCAGCAGCACAGGGGGACATGGAGCTGCTGGAGTGAGGCCAGAGGAGGCCATGGGGATGCTGCGAGGGCTGGAGCAGCTCTGCTCTGGAGCCAGGCTGAGAGAGCTGGGCTGGGGCAGCCTGGAGAAGAGAAGGCTCCTGAAGGGGAGACCTTAGAGCAGCTCCAGTGCCTAAAGGGGCTGCAGGAAACCTGGAGAGGGGCTTGGGACAAGGGATGTAGGGACAGGCCAAGGGGAATGGCTTGAACCTGCCCGAGGGGAGACTGAGCTGAGCTCTTAGGCAGAAGCTCTTCCCTGTGAGGGTGCTGAGGCGCTGGCACAGGGTGCCCAGAGAAGCTGTGGCTGCCCCATCCCTGGCAGTGCTCAAGGCCAGGTTGGACACAGGGGCTTGGAGCAAGCTGCTCCAGTGGAAGGGGTCCCTGCCCGTGGCAGGGGTTGGAGCTGGAGGAGCTTTGAGGTCCCTTCCAACCCAAACCAGGCTGGGATTCTGTGATGATTCCTATACTTTCTCTTACTCATTTGCTTTCTGGCACTAAGCTGAGGTCTCATGGCCTAGATGCTCTCACAGCATCTGTTTGCTCTCCTCCTGCAAGTCCAAAGTCCCTGTCGCACAGAGCAGCCCCAAAAGGAGACCTCATCTCCCCCAGGCCTGTTCACTGCTGCCAGACAGAGCCATCCACGTGGCACGGAGCTGGCACTGCCACTGTGCCTGCCCTCTCTGGAGCCTGGCCCTGTTAGTGGCCTGGATGGGGCCAAAGTGCCACCAGGCTTCTAGCATACAAGCAGGGCTCAGCAGTGTCAACAGCACCCGCCGGGCAAGGAGCAGGATGTCCTGTGAGGTGTTTTGTGCCCTTCTCTGTGCTCTTTGCAGGGTGAAGAGGAGGAAGATGGCTGACAAGGTGCTGCCACAGAGGGTGAGTGCATGGGGAAGGCACTGAGCTGCTACAGGGACCTGTGCTGCCTTCCCAGTGGAGCCAAGGTGATGAAGTCCCCAGGAGGAGGAGGATCTCACTGAGCTGCCTCCTGCCCCCTGGGCATTGCAGCTCAGTCCCAAACCTACCCAGAAGATGTCTTATCTCTGCCTCTGGGCTGGCAGGAGAAGGTTTGGGGTGTGCATAAGTTGGACAAGCAGGATTTTGAGCAAGCCAGGAGCAGCGATGGCTTGGGGTAGGGACCCCAGGAGCACCTGGGGGTCCCTCTTGATAACCCAGGGTTACATTACCTGCCTATGACACTGGGCACAGGGCCAGGCTCCAAAACGAGGTCTGCAGCACAGCTCTGGGATGTGGGGAGAGCTTTGCAGGCTGTAGTCTTGCATTTCAGATGAGAAATCAATGCCGTCGTGCTGAACTCATCACCTGGTGGCTCCTTGGTGGGTCAGCCCAGCACCAGTAGCGTTGCTGGGGCTGATGCAGGGGATGCAGCCCCATCGCAGCACACAAGGAACTGAGCACTCCTGTTTGGCAGATCCGGGAACTGGTCCCAGAATCCCAGGCCTACATGGACCTCCTCGCCTTTGAGCGCAAGCTGGACCAAACCATCGCTCGGAAGAGGATGGAGATTCAGGAGGCCATTAAGAAGCCACTGACGGTGCGTTGGCCACACTGGCTGGATGGGATGGGGGCTATGAGGTGGGTGCTGCTCTGGGTGCTGGCAGCCCCCCTCTCGCTCCAAGCATCCCCCCCTCCTTCTCTCTTTTTCACAGCAAAAACGGAAGCTGAGGATTTACATCTCCAACACTTTCACCCCAGCCAAAGAAGAAGGAGAGGGTGGGGAGCGTGTGGCCTCCTGGGAGCTGCGTGTGGAGGGCAAACTGCTGGAGGATGTAAGGATACAGGCAGGGATGGACTGGTGCTGGGAGGAGCACTGGTGCCCTGGGCTGGGCTGGATGGAGGTGGGGTTTGGGTTGAAGCCCTCCATGGAAGCGTCAGGCCAAGTCTCTGCTCTCTTTTGCAGCCAAGCAAGCAGAAGAGGAAGTTCTCCTCCTTTTTCAAGAGCCTCGTCATAGAGCTGGACAAAGAGCTGTATGGGCCAGACAACCATCTGGTGGAGGTGAGATGGAAGGCTCATGGTGCCTGGGGGTGTTGAGCAAGAAGCTTTTGGGTGCTGGGAATGGGGCTGAACCCTCCATGGGGGAGCAGGCTCAAGTGTTCTTGCCTGCTCCTGGCTGGTGGCTGGTGTGATGGGTCCTGGCAGCGAGTGCTGCCCACTCAGCTCTTAACCCCCTCCTGCCTGCAAGCAGAAGGACAATGGGGCTGGTGCAGGGCCTGGAGCACCAGTGTGATGGGGAATGGCTGAGGGATTCAGTCTGGAGCAGAGAAGGCTCAGGGGGGACCTGATGGCTGCCTACAGGTGCCTGACAGGAGGATGGAGCCAGGAGGGGCTGGGCTCTGCTCCCAAGGAACAAGGGATGGGACAAGAGGAACCGGCCTCAAGCTGCACCAGGGCAGGGTTAGATGGAGCTGAGGAACAATTCCTGCCCCAGAGGGTGCTCAGGCATTGGAACAGGCTGCCCAGGGCAGGGCTGCAGGCACCGGCCCTGCAAGTGTTCACACAGCGTGGAGACGAGGCCTCAGTGCCATGGGTTAGGGGTGGCCTCGGCAGTGCTGGGGTAAGGGTTGGACTGGATGAGCTTAAAGGGCTTTTCAAACCCTATTGATTCCATGATTCCAAGTAGAGTTGAGCAGAGCTGAGCTGTGGGGCTGCACCCAGGGGGTGGCTCTGGAGGCAGCCTGGGCAGCCCCAGGTCCCTTAGGTTTGCACAGGAGCTGATGCTGCAGGAAAGCTCTTTGTGCATCCTGGAGCCAGGAGGGAAGAGGGATCTGCTGCAGAGGTGGGAGGTGGAGCACTGCCAGTGAGTAGGAGCCCCCCTTTGTTGGGTGATCCTGCTGGAACAGGTTCTCCCTGTACCCAGTTCATGGTTTTTACCCCAGGAAGTGCTTGTTTCTGTGGTGGTTTGTGAACAGCTCTGATGAGCATCCCCTGCAGTGCCCGAGGCAGGGTTGATCCTGTGTGGATTCCAGACGCTGTTTGAGTCCCTGCCATTAAATGCTCAGGGCTGTAACTCCCCAGCCCACCCAAACTCCCCTCCACCCCTGTGCTGGAGCACATTAAGCCAGATCCTTTGGGCTGGGTGGGCTCTTGGCTGAAGCCCCCTGGGGTCAGCCTGCCAGGGGTGGGCTCCAGGCTCTCTGCCTCTGCTGGAGCCCTGCATGAGCCCAATGCCCTGCTCTCTGCAGACAGGAGGCCTGGTTGCAGGTGCCTTGTCACGCTCCTGGAGTTACCCAGTGCCCCCTTGCTCTCTTGTAGTGGCACCGGCTGCCCACGACCCAGGAGACCGACGGCTTCCAAGTGAAGCGTCCCGGCGATGTCAATGTGAAATGCACTCTGCTGCTCATGCTGGATCACCAGGTAGGGCCCTGGGGACACAGAGGTGCTGCTGCCTGGCCTCCGGCATGGCTCAGCTGTGAGGGGCAGCAACTTGTATGAGGCTGTTGTGAGGCTGTGAGGGAGCACAGAGGGTTCCAGGCATGGACCACACAGCCAGTGCTGGCCCGAGGGCTGTGCAGGGCACCAGTTAGGAGAGGGTCACTTCCAAGCACCAGAGAGAGCCCTGCAGCCTTTGTTGGTCAATGAGGAACTGAACATGACCGGGCTGTGTGCGCTTGAGCCCAGAGACCCCGTGTCCTGGACTGCATCCCCACAGCATGAGCAGCAGGTCAAAGGAGGTGATCCTGCCCCTCTGCTCTGCTCTTGTGAGACCCCACCTCAGCACTGTGTGCAGTTCTGGTGTCCTCAGCATCAGGACATGGAGCTGTTGGAGCAAGACCAGAGGAGGCCATGAGGATGATCAGGGGCTGGAGCAGCTCCTGTGTGGAGCCAGGCTGGGAACATTGGGGCTGTTCAGCCTGGAGAAGAGAAGCTGCATGGAGACCTCAGAGCAGCTTCCAGAAGGATGCTGGAGAGGGCCTCTTCATCAGGGACTATAGTGATGGGACAAGGGGTGATGGGTTCAAACTGAAATGGGAATTTCAGGTTATATCTAAGGCAGAAGCTCTTCCCTGTGAGGGTGCTGAGGCGCTGGCACAGGGTGCCCAGAGAAGCTGTGGCTGCCCCATCCCTGGCAGTGCTCAAGGCCAGGTTGGACACAGGGGCTTGGAGCAAGCTGCTCCAGTGGAAGGGGTCCCTGCCTGTGGCAGGGGTTGGGACTGGAGGAGCTTTAAGGTCCTTTCCAGGCCCAACCATTGTGTGATTCCATGCTCCTGCGTGCCCGTGCAGCCTCCGCAGTACAAACTGGACCCTCGCCTGGCTCGCCTGCTTGGGGTGCACACCCAGACCCGCGCCAGCATCATGCAGGCGCTCTGGCTCTACATCAAGCACAACAAGCTGCAGGACAGCCACGAGAAGGAGTACATCAACTGCAACCGCTACTTCCGCCAGGTCAGCCCTCGCCCTGCGGCCCCAGTGCGCTCTGCTGGGAGAACCCCTTCCCACCCCCAGTACGGCCACAAACAGCAGCTCCTTTGGCTGGCAGCGAGCTCCAGTCTCAGTTTATCCCTCATCCATCAGCTTGCCATGCACAAACCGGGGGTGGATGAGCCTCTCCTCTTGCCTGGCCCTCTCTAAGGTGGAGGGGGGCCCTGCCAACACAGACTCTGCTTTGTCCCTCCAGATCTTCAACTGCATCCGCATGCGCTTCTCTGAGATCCCCATGAAGCTGGCGGGGCTCCTGCAGCACCCCGATCCCATCATCATCAACCACACTATCAGGTAGGGGTGGAGAGCGTGATGAGCAGTGCTCCCCAAGGCTCTGGGAGGTGCACAGTGGTACCTGCAGGGGGGCTGAGGTCTGCAGCCCAAAGCAGAAGTCTCCCAGAATGATCCAACCCCATGTGGGGTTTGTTGGGGCAGGCGCTGGGGTCCTGGGGTTGTGCTGGGGCAGTCGATCCAGCCCTGCAGCAGGGTGGGGGTGACAAAGCATCCCCCAACACCCCTTTTCCTGCCAGCGTGGACCCCAATGACCAGAAGAAGACTGCGTGCTATGACATTGATGTGGAGGTGGACGATCCCCTGAAGGCTCAGATGAGCAACTTCCTGGCTTCCACCACCAACCAGCAGGAGATCGCCTCGCTGGATGCCAAGGTGCTAGTGGGGGGAGCTTGGTGGCAGCAATGTCCTGCTCGGGGGGGACAGCTGCATCTCACCCTGTCCTCTCCCTAGATCCATGAGACCATTGAATCCATCAACCAGCTGAAGACGCAGCGCGATTTCATGCTGAGCTTCAGCAACAACCCCCAGGATTTCATCCAGGAATGGATCAAATCCCAGAGGAGGGACCTCAAGGTAAAACCCTGGGGCTGGGCAGAGCGAAGGGCTGGGGGGGGGGTGATGCTGGGGTTCACCCCATGTCCCCCCCATCCTGTGTCTTGCTCAGATCATAACGGATGTGATTGGGAACCCCGAGGAGGAGCGGCGAGCTGAGTTCTACCAGCAGCCCTGGGCGCAGGAGGCTGTGGGCAGACACATCTTTGCCAAGGTGGGCTCTGTGCTGTGCCAGAGGGGAGCTGCAAGGGTGGGATGGGGGTAAGGGAGCACAGGGCAGCCGCTGGCCCTACCTGACCCCCATCCACCTCCTGCAGGTCCAGCAGCGTCGGCAGGAACTGGAACAAGTGCTCGGGATCCGCCTCACCTAAAGGGGCCGGCGGGGGCTCGGGAGCTCCTTCTCTCGCTGCTGCCTGAGCCTGATGGTACTTACTGGAATCAAACAGCACTTGCACAAACCCGACGTGCCTGGAGGGACTCGGAGCCACCCCTGGGCTCCCCAGGCAGAGCACAGCAGAGGCTCCCCCGCTCCAAGTCCCGCTGCAGCCCTGGCGCTGCGCTAACGCTTCTCCGCATCCCTCCTGCGCTCCTCGCTCCCCTCCTCCAGCCTAAACCCCTCCTGGAGCTGCTGCCCAGCAGGGCCAAGCTGCCTGCGTGCACCAGGAGCTGCCTCCTGCTCTCCCTGAGCCCAGCTGCCAGCACGGCAGGCCCAGCCCTGCCCCTCTGCAACCAAAGTTGTGTCATTCCAAACGCCAGCCCCCCTTCTCCTGACGTTTTGCACTATTTTTGTGAGCAGGTTTTATAAAACAATAGATAAAAAAGCGTTTTGTACAGTGGGTTTGTATTTGATTAATATATTGAGTTCCTCTTCCTGCACCCATGGCCTCAATCTATGCAGTGGGGGGGGAGCTCAGGGCTGGCTCGGCCCAAACTGCTCTTTTTTAGATGGAACCAAGGGTTTTTTTAGGGTAAGTTTTTGACAATCAGTTGATTTGTAGGATGAGTGACTCGGGCCGGGTGAGCCCACACTGCAGGGGAGGGGGCAGAGGGGGTGGCTCTGCCCCCAGCAGCCTGTGTACAGTGGGACCACCAGGGCTATGGAGGGAACTGGAGATGCTGGGGCATGAGGGGACCAAGTGGGGCAGAGAGGACAGTGCCACCGACGTGCCTTAACTCCCCCCCCCAGCCCAGGCTGGAGCGGCTCTGCCTCCTCCAGGGGTGCAGGCAGAGGGGAGGTGGGTTTACACGGCTCAGGGGTGCCTGCTCTGCCTCTTGTGTAACCGGTTTTTGTCTATTTTGGACGTTTTCTAATAAAAGCAGTTAGCAGCAGCTCGTGTGGCTTTGTGCTGAGTCCCAACACCCCCCCCCCCCCCGCCCCCCAACCCCATAGCAGGGCACAGGCCTGGCCGTAGCAGCACTTTATTAGAGGTGGTGCAGCCAGAGGAGCAGCCTTGGCCTCGCTGTTACTTCCACAGCTTCTTGATGGACATGTTCTTCTCGCTGTCCTTCTGCATCACCTGGGCGCAAAGGAGACAACAGTTGGGTCCATTCCAGCATGCAGCCCCCATTTGGGTGCTAGTAACCCCAAACCCTGTGCCAGCCCTGCACAGGAGCTGTCAGCTCCCTGCTCTCCTCCCTTGTCACTCACATGGAGACAACTCCCTTAAATTCTAGACTGGCTTAGTTGGGTCTTAAAGCTCTCCCAGCTCCAACCCCTGCCACGGGCAGGGACCCCTTCCACTGGAGCAGCTTGCTCCAAGCCCCTGTGTCCAACCTGGCCTTGAGCACTGCCAGGGATGGGGCAGCCACAGCTTCTCCGGGCACCCTGTGCCAGCGCCTCAGCACCCTCACAGGGAAGAGCTTCTGCCTAAGAGCTCAGCTCAGTCTCCCCTCGGGCAGGTTCAAGCCATTCCCCTTGGCCTGTCCCTACAGGCCCTTGTCCCAAGCCCCTCTCCAGGTTCCCTGCAGCCCCTTTAGGCACTGGAGCTGCTCTAAGGTCTCCCCTTCAGGAGCCTTCTCTTCTCCATGCTGCCCCAGCCCAGCTCTCTCAGCCTGGCTCCAGAGCAGAGCTGCTCCAGCCCTTGCAGCATCTCCATGGCCTCCTCTGGAGTCACCCAAACAGCTCCGCATCCTTCTTTTGCTATTGCCCCATAGCTGGATCAGGACTGCAGGGCAGGGATCTTAACCCTGCTGTCTGTCCCCAGAACTGACCCCAATCAAGTTTCCCACCTCCCAGGTCCTGGCAGACACTGCCCAGGCCCATTTATGCCTCCCCAGCAAGGAGCTGTTGCTGCAGGGACCCCCCCACACCTCTTCTGCCTCCCCCGCAGCACTAACCTTGGCAACAGCCATTTCGAAGTCTTCTTGTGTGACGTGCACCCGCCTCTCCCTCAGCGCGTACATGCCAGCCTCCGTGCACACCCCCTGCGAGGGACAGGGACATCACCACCTGCCACTGCCCCCTCTGCCAGCCCCAGTGCCACTGCAGGGCCCTGGCTCACCTTCACCTCCGCGCCCGATGCCCCCGGCATCAGCTCCGCGATCTTCCGCAGGTTGATGCCTCGCGTCAGGTTCATCTTCCGGGAGTGGATCTTGAGGATGTCCAGGCGGGCCTGGGGGAGAGCGGCAGCAAAGAGAGGGATGGAGCAGTAGGAATCGCTTCCAGGCAGGTTGGGGACGGGGTCAGGGCCGCAGGGACCCCACCTACCTCCTCATTGGGAGGAGGGAACTCGATCTTCCTGTCGATGCGGCCGGGGCGCAGCAGAGCCGAGTCCAGGATGTCGATGCGGTTTGTGGCCATGATCACCTGCACGGGAACAGCAACCATCGCCATTGTGGCCACCCCATGACCAGCAGGACACAGCCCCAGCCCCAAGGCAAGGATGGTACCCTCTGACCTTGATGTTCTTGGTGGCCTCGAAGCCATCGAGCTGGTTGAGGAGCTCCAGCATCGTGCGCTGCACCTCACTGTCCCCACCAGAGCCGCCCTCCAAGCGGGAAGAGCCGATGGAGTCAATCTCATCCATGAAGATGATGGAGGGAGCGTGTTCCCGGGCCATCACAAACAGCTCCCGCACCATGCGGGCACCTGCAGGAAGCAGAGAGGGCTGAGCCTGGGCTCACCGAGCTCCATCTGCCCCAGACCCCGTGCGAGAGGCTGGACCCGAGGCCACCCAGCACCACGGGAGCCACCTCCCCCTGCACCCTTTACCTTCCCCAATGAACTTCTGCACCAGCTCCGAGCCCGAGACACGGATGAAGGTGCAGTCGGTGTGGTGGGCAACAGCCCTGGCCAGCAAGGTCTTGCCTGTGCCGGGGGGTCCATAGAGCAGCACACCCTGCAATGAGCACACAGACACCTCAGCACCCCATCCATACTGCACAGGCAGCAGGGGAGACCCTCAGAGGTGACCCCAAAGAGCCCCCAGATGCTGGCCCCCACCACAGATCCCCAGCACTTGCCTTGGGCTGGGCAATCCCCAGAGCCTCAAAGAGCTCAGGGTGCTTGACTGGCAGCTCGATCACCTCCTTGATCTCCTTAATCTGCTTGTCCAAGCCCCCTATCATCTCATAAGTAGAATCTGGAACCTTCTCCACCATCATGAGGGACACGAGCGGGTCCACTTTGTTGGGCAGGATCTTGTGCAGGGTGTAGCTGTCATTGCGCAGGGCCACGCGGCAGTTCGGGGTCACCTGCAGCGAGCAGAGGGGAACTCAGCACCCCTGGGCAGGGGCAGGGCCAGGACAGGCAGCTCCGGGCTTCCCATGCCCCCTCCCACATTCCCCAGACACTCACATCATTGATGTCGATGTTCTTGTCCACATCCACCACGAACTTCCCCTCCGGGTGCACCTGGAGAGCGACAGTTGCCACCAGGAGTTATCTCCCTGTCATGTGCCCAACAGCCACAATGGGTGCTTGGAGCAGCAGGAGGGAGCCAGGGAGCTCAGCCACCACCAAACTCCCTGTAGCCCCTCCTGTCCCCAGGAGGCCTATGGCAGCTGCCTCCTACCAGCAATGTGGCCCAGGAGAGCAGCCACAATGTGCCCCTCTGGAGCACAAAGGCCTCATTTCACATCTTTTAACTGCTACATCCTCTCAGAGCTCATGCTCGCACTCACTCCAAGCCCTGGGGGATCAAAGGGAGGGTCTGTCAGACCCCACCCCAGACCTGGTCACCCTCAGCCCCATACCTTGACAAGCACTTTCTTCTTGTCCATGGCTCTCACCACCTCTCCCACATACGAGCCCTGCTCCTGCAGGAGCTGCAGCTCCTCCCGCAGCAGGCGCACTGCAGACAGGGAGACGTCAGCACCAGCCACAAGCAATTGTGCCCATCCCTGCCCATGATGGAGGGGCAGTGCTCGCCACCATGGCTGGCAACTGGGCCAGGAGCCACCAGCCCCAGAGCCCCAGTGAGGAAGACGAGGGGAGCTGAGCCATACCTTTAGCATTCAACTCGTTCCTCTGTGCTTGCAGGCGCCGCAGGTTCTGGCTCTTCTCGTTCACAATGAGCTGTTGGGAGAACAGCTTTGCTGTGCCCTCTAGATCCCATGCTGTGCTCACAGCGCCAGCACCAACACAACGGCCTTCGCTTGGGACAGGGGCTTGCAGGAGAGAGCCCTTCCCAGCAGGGCACAGCTACACCCCACAGCCAAGAGGTGGGACTCATCTCATGCTCCTCTACCACCCAAAGGTTGTGGAGAGCACCCCGGGGCAGCGTTTCCTTCTCCCACCCCAGTGCAGGACATCCACAGCACAGTGCTATGGGGGCTCCCAATGCAAGCATAGGGATGTGGCCACACAGCCCTGGCCGGGCACCTCGTGTACCTCCAGGCCTGGCTCACCTGCAGCTCCTCGATCTTGGACAGGTAGTACTGCCGGAGCCCCGTGCCGCCCTTCCCGTCATCCATCTCCATCTGCGGGAAAGCAGAGCTCAGCACCACGGGCCTTGGCCCCAGGGCCTGGCCAGTCCACCCACCAGAGCAGTGCTCCAAGCCCCTGTGTCCAACCTGGCCTTGAACACGGCCAGGGATGGGGCAGCTACAGCTTCTCTGGGCACCCTGTGCCAGCGCCTCAGCACCCTCACAGGGAGTAACTTCTGCCTTGTATTCAACCTGAATGTTCCCTGTTTCAGTTTAAACCTCTCCAGCACCCGCCGCCCCACCATTCCCACCCACAACGCCCCCTTCTCCCGCAGCCTCCTCTCGCACCCCCAGGCCCCTCAGGGAGGCTGAGGCGAGACCCGCCGAGTCACGGCTCCCGCCAGGCCCCGACCACATGCGGTCTCAGCAGAGCCCCGCGGCAGCACGGCGCGGCCCGAGCACCCCCCGACAGTCCCGGCTTCAACCCATCCCAACCCATCCCCTCCATCCTGGCCCGGCCCGGTCGCACCTGCTCGGGCCCGTCCACCGCCATCTTCTCCGCCGGCATCAGGCCCCGGCGCAGCTCCTGCCGACAACAAAGATGGCCGCCAGCCTCCTTCCTTCCTGCACGCCCGGCGCGATAACGTCACTTCCTCTCCCCGTAGCGTAGAGCGCCGCCAGCTGGGTGAAGCGCGCTCAGGTTGCAGCGTTGCCGCCATTTTGGTACGGTCAAAGCTGATTTCCCCGCACCGAGGAGCACCAGGGGAGCAAGGACGGGTCTTGGCCTCCGAGCCTCCAGCGGAGGAGGGGTCTCCGAGGGTACCGGTTACCGCTCCCCCGTCTCCCGCCCAAGGCAGCCCGCCTGGCCGCGGAGGGGAGGGCCCGCCACACTCAACATGGCGGCCAGGGCGAGGAGAAGCGGAAGTCGGGCGGCTGGCGCGGGGTACGACGGGAAGGGTGTGAGGACACGCGGAGGCGGCGGGACCGGGTCCGGGATCGGGACCGGGATCGGGATCGGGTATATGTCGCGAGGTGGCTGCGGCCTGGGCTGGGGAAGGGGGCTCCGGGGTGAGGGGACCCCGGGACAGGCCTCGGAGGGTCCCGCGGAGGCACCGGGGGAACGCTGGAGTTGGGCTGTGGAGGTCCCCGGGGGTCACCTGCCCGGCCCGGCCCTAGCTCATCCGGTCTGATCCCTGCAGGTCCCAGCCGGCAGCTGACGGAGGGTCCGGGCCCCGCGGAGGGCCCTGTGCCGGGCCACCATGGGCAAGAAGAGCAAGCTGGGCAAGAGCCGGCGGGACAAGTTCTACCACCTGGCCAAGGAGACGGGTGAGGGCTGCGGGACCGGGCTGCGGGTGTCTGCGGTAGCCCCGAGCCCTGCTGACCCCTAACCCCCGCTTCGCCATCCCGCAGGCTTTCGGTCCCGCTCCTCCTTCAAGCTTCTCCAGCTCAATAGGAAGTTCCAGTTCCTGCAGAAGGCCCGGGTGCTGCTGGACCTGTGCGCGGCCCCCGGCGGGTGGTGAGTGGTGTCCGGCCCCGGTCACAGCCCAGTGCTGCCCCGGGCCATTGTAACAAAGCAGCTGGTGTGTTTTCTGGTGTTGTGGCTCTGCCCTTGATGCCAAAGCTGATCCCGGCTGCCTGGCAGAGCAGCTCAGTGCTGGGGGCTCTCCTGCCACGCTGCTGTAGCTCTGTGCTTCTCTGTTCTTTCCAGGCTGCAGGTGGCTTCCAAATTCATGCCGGTTTCCAGCTTGATCATTGGTGAGTGTCGGGACCCAGGAGGAGCAGGCTGGGGCAGGAGCCTCCCCCATAGTGCCTGGATGTAGCCAAAGAAGGGGATGCTGGATTTGGGATCCTGGTGGACAGAGAGGGTGGGTGGGGAAGTCAAGCTCGGGTTTGAGAGGTTGCAGTCTGTGTTCACGTTTTTTCCCAGGGGTGGACTTGGTCCCCATCAAGCCCATTCCCAACGTGGTGACGCTGCAGGAGGACATCACCACTGAGAAGTGCCGCCAGGTATGAACCCATCTCCCCTGCTCCCCACCTGCTCTGCCAGTCTGGACTGCAATGGGAGTGGGCATCACCCTGCCTGCGCAGCTGGGGTCCTTGGGGGTCGGACAAGAGCAGAGGGTGAGCTGACGTGGACAGGGGGTGCTGCCTTGCAGGGGGGTTAGTGGGACAAACACATGTCCTTGTCCCTCAGGCCCTGCGCAAGGAGCTGCAGACATGGAAGGTGGATGTGGTGCTGAACGATGGAGCACCCAACGTGGGAGCCAGCTGGGTGCACGATGCCTATTCCCAAGGTGGGGTTTGCCTGGACCTCGTACAGTCTGGGGTCTACAAGGGTGGGCACATCCCATAGCCCAGCAGGGCAGGGTGGCAGTGGAGGGTGCAGTGGGACAGGGAGCTGGGCACTGGAGGCAGTGATGACCACTGACTGCTGTTCTCCCATGCTCCAGCCAACCTGACCCTCATGGCCTTGCGACTGGCCTGTGATTTCCTCTGCAAGGGTGGCTGGTTCATCACCAAGGTTTTCCGTTCCCGGGACTACCAGCCCCTCCTCTGGATCTTCCAGCAGTTCTTCAGCAAGGTCCAGGCCACCAAGCCCCAAGCATCCCGCAATGAGTCTGCTGAGATCTTCGTGGTGTGTCAGGGTGAGTGGCCATGGGGGACCTGCAGCTGCTGGAATGGGGCTGGGAAAAGGCTGCTGCTAGCTCTGATTTCTCCATCCCAGGTTATCAGGCTCCAGACAAAATCGACAGCAAGTTCTTTGACCCAAAATATGCTTTCAAGGAGGTGGAGGTTCAGACTAAGTCCGTTAGTGAGTTGGTCAGCAAGAAGAAGCCAAAGGTATGAGTAAGGCCAAAGACACAAATGGGGCTGGGGACTGGGGCCAAAGACGTTGTAACAAGCAAAGTCATGCAGGAAAATGAAAGCTCTGGGGATGCAAAGTGGTGGAGGAGCCAGTTTGGGGAAGGTTTGCAGCCTCAGAAGGTGGTGTAGTTATGGGGAAATGGTGATACAAGTTGTGAAGCTGGGGATGGACCAGTAAAACCCTCCCTGCAATGGTTGGCCACTGGGTTTATGTCTCTGTGAGGTGTCTTTAGGACACAGAACATCAAAGACACTGTCAGGTGGCCTCAGCTGGGCATGGACCTGACACAGACCTCTATCACCTCTCTGAGGTGGGACTGGGAGACACTGTGGAGCTGGCAGGTTGGGGCTGGTGGCTTGCCTCATCCCTTGGTCATGCGGGCATGCTTAGGTGGACACTTGCAGCAAGACATGAGTTACCTGCCATCGTTCAGCCTTTAGGGCTGATTGAAGCTGCACCTTGGCTCATAGCACTCCCTCCTCCTGTAGGCAGAAGGCTATGCAGATGGTGACATGACCCTCTACCACCGCTTCACCCTCATGGACTTCCTCAAGGCTCCCAACCCCGTGGACTTCCTCTCCAAGGCCAATGAGGTGAGGACCCGAAGTGAGGGGGACTTTGGTGGCCCCAAAGGCCCCCCCAGGAGCACAGAGCAATGCAGAGAAGGAGCCAGGTGCCCCAGCTATGGCTCTGTCTGTAGCAGCAGGGGCTGAAGCTCAGGGGGAACAGCTCTTTCCCTCTGCTCTGCCCAGATCACACTGGGGGATGGTGAGCTGGAGAATCACAGCTCCACCACGGAGGAGCTGCGGCAGTGCTGCAAGGACATCCGCGTGCTGGGAAGGAAAGAGCTCAGGTACTGGGGGTGACTGGGAGAGGCTGGCTGCTGGCCTGGTGGCTGTCTCTGACTGTCTGCCTACCCACACAGAGCTCTGCTGAACTGGAGGACAAAGTTGCGGAGGTTTTTGGCCAAAAAGCTGAAGGAGCAGGCAAAGGAGCTGGATATCAAGTAGGGACAGCAAGGGTTGCCCCAGAGCTCCCGTGTGGTGGGATGGGTCTGCCACCAGGAGGGGTGGTCTGAGCTCCTTCCTTTTGGCAGCCTGAGCTCCGGGGAAGAGGAGGAAGGCAAAGAGGAGGAGAGGAAGGAGAAGAAGACATCGCCAGGAGCTGCAGCTGATGAAGTGGCAAAAGAGGAAGAGGAGGAAGTAGAGCTGGCATTGGCAGAGATGAAGGCCAAGGAGCTGGCGGAATTAAAGAGGTAAAAGGATCTCACATGAGGAGAGGTGGGGGAGCACGGGAGGCTCCAGCCGTGGGCACAGAGGGTGTCAGACCCCGACCCTCTGCTGACAGCAGGTGGGGTCTGTGGGTCTGGGGTGCTCAGGGTCATCTGCTCCTCCAAGCAGGTGAAGCAGTTGTTCCAAGCTGGAACAGGCCCCTTATGTCCCCACTGGGGACCCCTCACAGGGAGATAGCAGTGCTGTGAGAGAGATCTGTCACTGATGTGGCAGCGGATGTGGATTGGAGATGTGGAGGGGGTGGCAGGGGTAGGCAGAGTGTAGCCTCGTTCCTTTGCCTCTTCCAGAAAGAAGAAGAAGATCCTGAAGGAACAGCGGAAGCAGCGTGAGCGTGTGGAGCTGAAGATGGACCTCCCTGGTGTCTCCATTGCTGATGATGGTGACACCAGCATGTTCTCCCTCCGCACTATCCACAGGACCCCGGTGTGTGGGGCAGGAGGAGGCCAGGCTCCCAGAGCTATTTGGGCTGGGACAGTGGTGGGCACGTGGCTGATGGGCTGTGATTTGTCACTTGTTTTACTTGCATTGCAGCTGCTGAACGAGGTGACCCGGGGGGACATGGCATCAGCAGATGCCCTCCTGGAGATAGGAGCTGGGGACGATGACATTTATGTCTCGGATCAAGAAGGAGAGGATGATGTGTCCCTGGCCAGTGACCTGGACCCAGAGGAGCTGGTTGAGATAGAGGCCCGGCAGCGCCGGCTGGAGCGGGAGAGGCGAGAGCAGGGTGCAAAGAGGTGAGAGCAGGAGAGGCCTTCCTGGGCAGAGAACCCAGCACTGAGCACACACCATACCTGGCTGGGGGCGGTCTGATCCTGGTGCTGCTTGTAACAGGGTGAAGTTTAGGCAGAAGGAGAATGAGGAGGAAGAGGAGGAACAGGAGAATCCCCTGCTGGTACCCCTGGAGGAGAAGTCGGTGCTGGAGGAGCGACAGACCAGCCTGTGGTTTGGGAAGGTGAGTCCTGCTGGGCCCACAACAGCCTCAGCCCAGCAGCTTCCCTGTGTCCCCTGACCTGCTGCTCCCCATCCCCAGGATGCCTTTGCTGGCATTGAAGATGATGCAGATGAGGAGCTGGAGCTGGGGCAGTCGCAGATGTTGGCTGAGAAACAGCGCGAGTCTCAGAAAGGTCAGTGGGGGCTGTGGGGGTCACAGAGGGACAGCCCCAAGGCCCAGGCTGGGCACTGGATCACACCATGGTGGAGATACGGCTCTGAGCATGCCTGGAGACCTCCAGAGGTTGTTTCCAACCTGTGTCATTACACAGTTAGCGAGCTGGGTGTCTGGAGGAATGGGGTTTGTCTCAGCCCTTTCTCACTCAGTGGTTCCTGTTCCCCAGACAAAGCAACAAAGAAGGAGCAGAAGAAGAAGATGCCCCAGGAGGAAGTTCCAGCTGAGCCCCCACCTGCCACAGACACAGGACCTGACACTGGTAAAGTGCAGGATGAGCAGAGCAGTGATGATGACAGCAGCAGCAGCGATGAGGAGAGGTGAGGCCTGGGAGAGGGATGGTCTGGATGTTCTCCCACAGCTCCACAGTCTTGGAGAGCTGGGAGGTGAGGTGAGCACCCCAGCCCTGACCACTCTCCTCTCTGCAGGCCACCAACACCAGTGGGGAGGAAACGGGGCCGTATTGAGCCATGTGGCTTTGAGGTGGTGCCCATCGAGAACCCATGTGAGTGCTGGGGTGTAGGTAGTCTAGAGGGGGGGAGGTAAATAGCCCCACTCAAAGACACTGGGCCACTCGAGCGCTAGAAGAAGGCCCACCAGTTATAATCAGAAATGAACTGGGAGAATGGGAACAAGGGTGGAGGCTAGTCCTTACAGGGCGAGGGTATGCCGCCGTCAGAAAAGATGGCAGAATTAGGTGGTGCCCTCTTAAATCTATTAAACCAGACCCTCACTACCTACACTGGGGGCTCCTGGACCCATGTGTGCCCAGTGATACTGTGCGAGTCCCTCTTCAGGGACTGGAGGCAGGGTCACACGAGGCTTTCCCAGGGCTGCTTCTAGATAGGCCACACTTTAACCTGTCTGTGTGTTGCAGTGAAAAGAGCCCGTGTCCTGGATGCTGAGGGCTTGGCCCTTGGCTCTGTCATCGCCACCTCCAAGAAGGCCAAGCGGGACTTGATTGATGATTCCTTCAACAGGTACTTGCTCTGCCAAGAGGGGACAGGCAGGGGGGTTGGTGAGGAGACCCCACATCCTGCTTACACTCACCTGAGTGCCCCCCCCCATCCAGGTACTCCTTCAACGAGGATGAGGGCGAGCTGCCGACATGGTTCACAGAGGAGGAGCAGCAGCACCGGCGCCGCCAGATCCCCGTGGACCGGCAGACGGTCGAGGCCTATCGGCAGCGCTGGCGCGAGATCAACGCCCGCCCCATCAAGAAGGTGGCAGAGGCCAAAGCCCGCAAGAAGCGGCGGGTGAGTGGGGCTGTGGTGCTGTGTGTGGCTCCATTCCCCCCATCCCAGGTGCTCCTTCCCTCTGCAAATCCCCCTTTGTCCCCATCTCTCGCTGTCCCCACAGATGCTGAAGAAGATGGAGCAGATGAAGAAGAAAGCAGAGGCTGTGGTGAGCACAGTGGATATCTCGGAGCGGGAGAAGGTGGCTCAGCTGCGGCGGTGAGTGATGAAGCTGAGGTCACAGTATCACAGTATCACAGTATGTTAGAGATTGGAAGGGACCTCAAAAGCTCATCTAGTCCAATCCCCCTGCCGGAGCAGGAACACCTAGATAAGGTTACACAGGAACGTGTCCAGGCGGGTCTTGAATGTCTCCAGAAAAGCAGACTCCACAACCTCCCTGGGCAGCCTGGTCCAGTGTTCTGTCACCCTCACTGAGAAGAAGTTTCTTCTCCAGTTTAAGTGGAACCTCTTGTGTTCCAGTTTGTACTCATTGCCCCTTGTCCTTTCATTGTTTGCCACTGAGAAGAGCCTGGCTCCATCCTCGTGACACTCCCCCTTTATATATCTATATACACAACAGGCAGGTCCAGATCCTGCCTGTTGTGCTGGGCTGGTTCATGATGCCTTGTCCCTGCAGCTGCCACACGGGGACAGCTCCTGTGTGTAACCCAGCAGGGTTAGCAAAGGCTGGGCTGGATGTGGGTGCACTTTGAGGGGTGACAGAGAGCAAAGGAGCCCCATTTTGGGGCCAAACCGATGGAGCTGGGCCAGGGTCTCGGTCTCAGCTTTTGCCATTCTCTCGTAGCATCTACAAGAAGGCTGGGCTGGCCAAGGAGAAGCGGCAGGTCACCTACCTGGTGGCTAAGAAAGGTGTAGGACCCCGCGTGCGCCGTCCTCCTGGGGTCAAGGGCCAGTTCAAGGTTGTTGACAGCCGCCTGAAGAAGGATGTGAGGGCTCAGAAGCGCAAAGAGCAGAAGAAGAAACGCCATAAATGACGTGGGACCAGCTCCATCCACAGGGAGGGACTCGGCTTGGGAGCAGCCGGCTCATCCTGGCACTCTGCCCCATCCTGGGGACAGGACTGTGACAGCCACACGTTGCTATTCATTGGTGCCTTGATGTGACATTGCCTCCTGTCCTCTGGTGGGGCAGGGAGGGTTTATTTGGCCTCAGTGCTGCAGCATTGACCCCCATCCAGCTCTGTTGCCATTGCTGACTCTAGTGGAGATGGCACCAGCATCCACACCAGCCCTCACTGTCCCCTGGGAGGTTGTGGCTCAAGGGGACAGCTCCCTGGGCCGTACTTGTCACCGAGCCCTCTGGCAGGCGTGTATCAAGGGTATGCTCTGGTTGCAGCAGAATTAAACCCTGGTCTGAGGTTGCACCGGGATGTGTCCTGCTTCCCTTCATCACACTTGACTGGCAGAGGACCCAGCCAGCAGCAAGGCCAGACCTGCACCCACCCTGCCCCAGCCAATGCAGTCCAGGGCAGCTCCCCCCATCCCCACAACCCCCTGCCACCTTCCACCCCTGCACCCCTCATCTCTGCCACCCTCCCTGTGTGGGACCCTGGAAGTTTAGGAAAGAGAGACCAAGAGGAAAGCTGTGCTTGAGCCAATGTGTTCATTCAGAACCAGGCAGGGTCTGGGGGACGGTGGCTTCTCCCTGTCAGCAGTGCCTGAATCCAGTTGCAGAGGTGGTCCCTGCAGCCCTCAGGGTGGCAGTGGTACTGTGTTAGCGCCAGGGATGGGAAGCACAGGGTCCTGGTGGGGTGGGAGCTGCTAAAGGGGGATGTGACAAAGTCCAGAGGGAGCTGTGAGCACTGCAGCCGTGCTCTGCCCTAGTGGAGGGCCAGGGCTGGGGTCAGGGTGGGAGCAGAGGCCATCTCCTGGTCTCGTTCTCAGTGACTGAAGGAGCTGGGGTGAGCAGAGGGTTCCAGCTGCCAGGCTTCAGGCTGCGCTGAAAGCTTCCCTACTGCCCATCAACGTCTTCAACACGAGCTATAGGTGTGCTGAGAGGAGAGAGCCCCTGTCCCTCCAGCTGAGCCCCATCCCTTGGAGCTCAATGTCTCATCCCCTGTATGACCCCAAATCCACGGATGGGGAGCTCCGTAAGGAGCACAGGAGGACTGGGGAGGGTCTGAGCCCCCTCAAAGAGGCCCAGCTCCTCTCTGCACCCCACAGCCTGGGTCCTCCCTGACCTCAACCTCCCAAGCTCTGGCCAGCAAGACCCCATCCATTAATCCAGGGCTCCAGGCCCTCTGTCCTCCTCCATCCTGACTCCTGGCCCATCTTTCCCTGGCCCCAGGGACTCAGCACAGGCCAGGCTGGCCCTTCAGGGTCAGTGGGTCCCCATCAGGGTCCTGGTGATGGGGTGACCCCTCTGCCCTGTCAGGCTCAGCCCCCACCTGAGCTGCAGGGTGCACTGGAGGCAGCATCCCTGCGACCACCTGCAATGGGAAGGATGAGCTCAGGGTGAGCTGCTCCTGTTGGTGAGCCAAAGCTCATTAATGTGAATTGAATGAGGGAACTGAAAGCTCAGCCAGGCCCCCTCTGGGCCACCGTGGTGGCCACCAAGGCCCCGTCCCCAGCAGGGCTCACCCGTCTCATAGCAGTCACACAGCACCACGGTGGCTGGCTTGGAGGCTCCTCACTGGGAAGTCCTGCGTGGTGGTGAAGGTGTCCTCCTGCTGTGTCAGCTGTGGAGACGTCCCCAAGGATGAGGTGCGACCATCCATGATGGGGAAGCATCCCCACACCCCAGCACAAGGGATCCAAGGAGAAGTGGTGACATGAGAGGGGTGGGGATGAGCTACACCATGGAACTGACCCCACAGAGGCCTTGAAGAGGTCCTGGCTGTACAGAAACCTGTGCTGGGGTGCAGGCCAGCATCCCTGCTCTGCTTCTGGGCTCCCCTTGACTTCTCAGCTCAGCAAAAGAAAGGCTCTGCTCGCACATCAGCTGCACACGAGGCAGCACCTATAATAAAGCATCCCAGCCATGGGCAGGGACAGCCCACCAGCCTGACCAGCAATCACATGCATGGGATGAGCTCCCACCCTCCCACCAGCCAGGGACAGACAGACACAGAGGGCTCACAGAGCTGCAGACACCCCAGGTCTAGATGCAGGATGAGAACAGGCAGGGACCTCATGTCTCCACATGCAAGAGCACGATGGGGATGGCCACAGCCTCCTCCTCCAGGCGCTGGAACGCTGTAGACCTGCATCTGCTCTGCAGTGAGATCTTTGCTCTCCATCCAGTGAGCAAACAAGGTTTTAGCCAGGGCAGTGTTTGCCCACAGCCTCCTGGGTTCAAGGCTCTGATGGGCTTTGGAGATGGGAGGAAAGGTTCCTATAGGATGTAGAGGTTCAAAACCAGGGGCAGGACCCCCGTACACACGGGTTTGCTGGGAAACCACAGCAGGAGGGAGCAGGAATGAATCCCCAGGGCGAAAGCAGGCAGCACATCCTGGGTGCAGTGTGTGTGAGCTGGTGTCTCAGAAGGGCTTGTTTCCAGGTACCTCGGATCTAGCCCAAAAGCAGCTGTTTGGGCTGGGTGCAGGTCTCAGGCTGCCTTTTTGCCTGGTTTCCTCCACCTGCATCAGCTCAGTTATGGGCACAGGTACAGAATGGTGCTGGGCTGGGAGCTGGGCACCAGCCTGGGCACAGGCTCCTTATTTCCTAGTGGGAATTTAGGGAAGTTGAGACAGCTCCATGACTGCCATACAGTGCTCTGAGTGCAGTCCCCTTCCCTTTTGGGGTATGGGGGGGGACACACAGAGGCAGTGCTGCAGGAAGCCATGGATGGGGTGGACCTCTTTGCATTGGGCTGTCCCCATGGATACAGCCCTGCCCTTCAGGGGCAGCCCCACACAGTCTCAGTGTCTGGAGGATGCTGGTCCCTGCCACCCCCATGGAGACAAAGGTGGGAGCACGGCCCTGAGCCCATTCTGCTGCCCCAGGGTGTGGGCATGGGTCAGTGCCCCCCAGGCATCCCAGGGGTGGTTCCATGTGAGGAGGAGCTCAGGGCCATCAGCACAGGAGGCAGTGGGGGCTGTGAGCTGTGAGGCCAAAGGGAGATGGAGTCAGGAGCAGGGGGGGCTCTGCCTCTGCTGTGGGGATGCTGAGGGGAAACAGCACATGGAGGATGTGTCATTGGGTGCCTGAAGCAGGAGCCAGTGTCCCCCAGCCCCTCCTGATGAGGCACCACTGGCCCCACGCTGTGCCGCTGCTTCTCTGCCTTGTTGCCAGTGCAATGAATGCTCCCTCTGGTTTGGCCTCAGCTCTTTATTCAGCAAAGCAAAGTGAAGGTGCAGCCCCACTGACACATCACAGAGGCGGATGGGAGCGTTGTGCTCCCAACACAGCGTGGTTTGGGGTTGGCTTTGAGCAGGGATGGTGGGAAAGAGCCTGAAGCAAGGAAGCTTCCCTGCAAGGCCACATTTTGCTGCTCATCTTTCACTTCACTTACTCCCAGGTGCATTTTTCCCCATCGTTTCAGCCTGGCAGAGCAGGGACAGGGTCAGGGCAGCCCTGAGCATCCTCTCCATGCCCAGCCATGAGGCTCGCTCTGCTCTCCCAAGGTGTTTTGCCAGTCCTGGATCAGCTCAACTGCCCTGATCCCCTCTCCAAGGGATTGCCCAAGGGAAATCACAGCTTCATGGTGGGCACCAGGGCTGGGTTTTGGAATCCTCATCTCAACCGCGCTGCTTCAGGCTCCTGCTGGGTCTGGGGAAGGGGATGAAGGGATGGGAGAAGGCTGCCAGCCCTCGGCTGTCAGGTGGGAGAGGATGAAGTCAGGAGCAGGGGGAGAGCCACGCAGCTGCAGTTTTCCTTCACATCAGTCTTGGAGGCTTTAAAACCGGGAATAGAGCATGCATGATACTGGGGTCAGTCAGCCTGCCCTTCTCTGTCCCAGAAATGCCTTCCTACCTCCAATAAATACCCTACTGGAACCCAGCCAGCAGCCCATCGGCTCTGGTGGCCCATGAGAGCTTAGGGCCACCCGGGCTGTCCTTGGAGCATCCCCATGCACAGTGTGATGAGAACATCACACACCCAGCAGTCTCAGCCCAACAGGGAAGGGAAGGGAAGGCACCATCCCACTGATGGTCCCACTAAGCATGGATGCACTTGGTGGACCCTGCAGCACCCACAAGCTCCATCCAGCCTGGCCGAGGGATGGGGAGATGCAATGCTCTGCTCTGCTCTGCTCCATGGGCGACTGCTTTGGGTGCAGCTCTGCTCCTGGCAAGAGGGTGGCACAAGCACTTCTGTGCTCACCTGCACCATAAGGAGCTTTGTCTCGGTGTCCATGTGCCCATGGGCTGGCACCACGGGCATCTCGGTGCCACAGAGGTCCTCAGACTGCAGGGCCCTGGCGATGACGGTGACGTTCACCTTCCCTGTGGAGGGAGATGTGGACATGGCAGTGACACTGCCTTAGGGGCTGGCTGCAGCTCAGAGCCACCCTGGGGACATGGGGAAGGAGGAGGGTGCAATGGATGCAACAGGACCAGGAAATAGAGGGAAGAGATTGGAGAGTGGAGAAGGGAAAGGGAAAAGAGGGGAGAGGAAGCTGGGAGGAGGAGGAAAGGATCAGAAAAGCAGTGGCAAAGAAGAGGGTTTCAAGCAGTGCCTGGGCTCTCCTACCCCATCTCCAGCCCTTTTCATACCCATGCTGGTGGCTCTCACGTCCCACTGGAAGGTCCTTGTTTCATCTGCACACACACAACCACCGTTCACCTCATCCGAGCCCGGAGGCAGCTCCAGCTCCACCGACTCCATCAGCATCACCTGGACCTGCCGGACCACAGCTCCCTCAGCCACCACTGGGACCCCAACCCAGAGCCCCCTGCCCGGCCCCGCTCACCCTCAGGCAGTGCCGCAGGAGGTTGAAGACAGTGGCCATGAGGGTGAAGGCTTCGTGCTGGACCACGGCGTAGGGCAGCGCCAGCTCCACAAAGAAGGGCTTGAAGGTTGTGATGGTGGTGGCAGGGGCCAGCCCCAAGCCCAGAGGGGATGTGCAGAGCATCCCCGCTTCCCAGTCGGTGGTGATATTGGGCACTGGCACCATCACCTCCACAGAGCCATGGTCCCTGCAGGGAGGTGGGAGATGGACGGGTTTTACACAGTGGGTCTGATGGGCAGAGCCAGCAGAACCCCCTTCCTCTGGGTCTTGGGGCTGGTCATTGGTGGCCATCATGCACGTGGAGACGGGCAGGGGCACCATCAGTGTCTTAGGGTACCCCCTGCCTATAGGACAGACTGCCCCATCTCCCCTAGGCTCAGTGCTGAGGTCCAAGGGAAGGGGCTGAACATGTCTGTGTCATTCCTGATACGTGGACACTGAACTGGAGGTCTGGGCACTGCACCCAGCGCTGAAGCTGGTGCAGTTACCTGAGGTCTGCTGGCGCTCCTTACTCACCCCACAGGCACCAGCTCCCACAGCCACGTTTCCAGGAAACCCATCTGCATCCCCGGGTCCTTCAGGACATCTGCCAGAGGATCGGCCTCCAGATCTGGTCCTGCAAACGGGCATGACCTGAATGCGCTGCAGGAAGAGGCAGGATGCCTCCGGCCGTGCTTCTGCAGCCAGCACTGAGGCTCCCCACTCACCCTGGGGGTACCGATGGCTGCTCGATGGACAGCCCAGCTCCGCGTTGGTGGCAGTTTTCAAACCTGCATCCTGAAACAGCACATGAGAGCAGCAACCACACCGGAGCCCACGGGTCCCCAAGTGCCTTTCCCATCCCTCTCCAACGCCAGGAACCGAAGCCCCATGGCAGAACAGAGCTCCTGAAAATCAGGACCCCCCCCGGCCATGCTGTAATGGGAGTGCAGGAGGGGAATATTTGTGCCAGGAGAAGCTGCTGCATCAGGGAGAGCCGGGGAGGATGCGGTGAATCAGCTCTGCCTGCTCCAGTCCCAAACAGCCCCGACCCCTGGGTTTGCTGCCAGTGGGAGACACGCACCCCCAGAACACAGGGGAACACTGGGACAGTCCTTTCTGTTCACTCCAAGCACAGATTTGTGATGGGGAGAGCAGAGCTTAGCCCTTTCCCTATGGAATGCTGCAGGGCCTGAGCTGGCAGATGTGTGTGTCCTGAGCTGGTCTGTGAGCACGCACACACACTGGCTGGGCAAAGGACTGGGTGTTCCCAGCACCCTAAGGAGGATGAGGAGTGTGAGGAAGGGCTGGAGGGCTCACACCTTAAACAGGCTATAGGAGCCTGGCTGGGCATCAGGCTGCAGGAACAGCCGGCTCCTCAGTTTGCGGCGGCAGGTCCTCCTCTTCCCCGGCACATCATAACAGTTAAGGGGTGGAATGCTTGCAATTATGCCTTCATACCCGCACCTCAGGTTCTGAGATGAAATAAGCTCTTCAAATTCAAGAGAATGGGTGGATCCATAAAATACTGGAAGTGAGTTATAGACCTAAACCAAACACATGAGCTTTGGGTGAGAAAGACAGGAAATGCTCCTGGCTCAGTTCCAATCCCTTTTGCCCCTGTCACTGCCCCATAGCTTCTGCACCTCCCTGGGCATCATAGTGATGCCACCATCCCCAGCCCTTCCACTGGGACCTGTCACTTCCCCATCTCTCTCCTCCTCAAGAGCAGCGATGCTTCCCAAGGTCCCTATTTGTCCTTCCCTAAAATCATAGAATCATAGAAGCTTTGGGTTGGAAATGACCAAAGACCATCCCGTTCCAACCCCTGCCATGGGCAGGGATGCCTCACACTAGACCGTGTCTCCCAGGGCTCTGTCCAACCTGGCCTTGAACACTGCCAGCAGTGGTTCTCTGGACAGCCTGTTCCAGTGCCTCAGCACCCTCACAGAGAGGAACTTCTTCGCTATATCTAAGCTGAACTTCCCCTGTTGAAGTTTGAACCCATCACCCCTTGTCCTAGCACTACAGCCCCCATGCCCCAGCAGCAAGCTCAGGACCAGCCTAGCACCGAGGTTACTCCAGCCTCACCACGTCGGGGTTGAGCTTGCCCTTGCCCTTGCTACTGGAGGACTGTCCACGTTGATCCACGGCATAGATGGCACAGAGTGACCCCGGGGCAGCCTGCACCTTCATGTGGAGCCGGGAGCCCACCACAGCCCTCTGCTCTGAGGACAGGTTCACCTGGAGAGAAGGGAACCTTTGGGTTAGGGGAGAGGGGAGCTGCTCCCAGGCAGCTGGGCACCATCCCAGAGGACTGAGATCAAAGCCAGGGGATGCTTTGCAGCAGCAACAGGAACAGGACACGAAGGAAAACCCCTCCCTGAAAGGAGATCCTGGGTCCAGGCTGTTGCAAGGAAGGGCTCAGTGTCCCCATCTCCCCTCCGAGCCCAGCCGGCTCCGCTCACCTCGCTGGGGAAGCACTTGGCCACCTTGAGCTTGGTGCTGTCGGCCACCACCTCGCTGCTGGGCAGCACCACGTAGCCCAGCACCTTGGCTGCAGGCGCCAGCTCGGGGCCGATGGGCAGCTCCAGGGAGAAGGAGCCGCTGAGCCCTGGGCCATGGGATGGAGGGGAGTGAGGAGCAGGCACGGAGCAGAGCCCTGCACAGCCCCATGTGCCCCAGGACCTACCAGCATCTGCAGGCAGCTCCTTCCTGAGCACCATGGCGATGGTCCCCTTGGCCAGGACCTGCAGAGGAGGAGGTGGGAACAACTGGGTTGAAGGGAGATGAAGGGAGGCTGTGGAGGATGCTCAGGGACAGACTATTAGAGCAACATAGGATGGAAATGGTGCCCCAAGACCTGAGAACTCCAGAGGCCATCCCTGAGTCCAGGAGTACCTGCCCAGGACTGGCTGGAAATGAATTCTGCTGGAGGGGAGGATCCTTCTCCCCTGAGCTCTGCCTTTCCTGCAGCTTCCCCTCTCTCCCCAGGTTGAAGGCTCACCAGTAAGACCACATCCAGGCTCTGCTGCTTGCTCCCCATGGCCTTCTCATCAAACACATAATCCACGCTGAGCTGCAGGGGCTGGCCGCAGGGCAGCTCCTTTCTCACCCTGCGTATCTTCAGGAAACTCGTGGTGCCCACAGAGATGGGGTACACGTGGTGAGGAGCACTTTCATAGATGGGATACTCCAGGTTTTCATCCTCAGAGGCTGCACTTTTCACCTACCCCTGAAGGGTGGAAATTGAGGCTGTCAATGGCAAAGATCAGCTCAGCAGCATAGCTCAGTAGGGGTGGAAAGCCACCCTGAGACTGCCACCCTCTTAGCTGTGACATCCCTGCAGGAGCATGCAAAGAAACACAATCCAGGTGTGCTCAGCACCCAAAAGCGTAGAGCTGCATGCCACTGTGGGGCTTGTCCAAAGGACACTCAAAGGGGTAGCCAGTAGATAGCAAGAGGAGGCAGGTACCTATATGCTGATGAAGCATCTCAGAACTACCTGATCTTGAGCCCAAGTGGTGAAGGTGGAAAGGATCCTGAATTTGGCAGTGAAGTATGAGAACAGTAAGGCAGAGAGAAGGAATTAGAGGAAGAACTTTGCAGAGTGCCCCAACAGTGGGAGGAGAGCCTTTTCCCAGTGCAGGAGGCAGGAAGGCTGCTGAGATCTGTAGGGTTTGACTGGCAGCAAGGATTAAACAGGGTTAATACGCACATGGAGCTCTTCACCGTGGGATGCTCTGGGTGCACAAAGACCAAATGTGGTCAAGGGGAGGCTGGAAAATTTGGTGTAAAAAACTCTGTCATTTTTACCAAAATCCGAGTTTCTGAGAGGAAATGGGTCACTTACGTGCATGGAGACCCTGTCCTTCCAACCAGAGGTGTCCAGCTCAAAGGAGGCTCTCCCTGATCCATCCGTGAGCAGGGTTTTTCTTTAGATTTCTCCAGCATTAACCACCACCAGGAGCTCCTTCTCCGTTAGGGCAGAGCCGTTAAGTCCCTTCAGCAGCATCTGCACCAGGAGGGAAGGGGAGATGCTGGGTGAGATAACAGGGTTGAAGGACTGACGGAGTGGGATTGGGTGCAGCAGGAGCCCTGTAGGGCACAGGGACCACCCCCCATTACCGTCCCAGTATAGGGAACCCCAGGCCTGTAGAATTTATCACTGCTTTCAAATGCTATGATGATCTCTTCATCCACAATCATACAGCTCTTGTTTGCTGCACGCTGCATCCCTGCGGAGAGGAGAGGCACTCAGCACCGTGCCCTTGTGATTCCCACCAGGAAGGATGGGCCAGAGTGTCAAGTGTGCAGCATCACACGTTCTGCTGTCTCTGCAAGTGGCCGTATGAAACAAAGCTCTCCTCTTGCAGGCAGTGGCTAAGGGGCAAGTTTGCACAGTGCAGAACCACACAGACTGGGCAACAAAGGCAAAAACTGAGTCATAGAATCATAGAATGGTTTGGGTTGGAAAGGACCTTAAGGTCATCCAGTTCCAACCCCCTGCCATGGGCAGGGATACCTCACACTAAACCATGGCACCCAAAGCTTCATCCAACCTGGTCTTGAACACTGCCAGGGATGGAGCATTCAGCACTGCTCTGAGCACCCTGTGCCAGCGCCTCAGCACCCTTGCAGGGAAGAACTTCTTCCTTAGATCTAACCTGAACTTCCCCTGTTTCAGTTTGAACCCATCACCCCTTGTCCTATCACTACAGTCCCTGATGAAGTCCCTCTCAAGCATCCTTGTAGGTCCTCAGGTGAGACAGGATCTACAGCGTGAGCAGGACCATGCTCTCTGTGCACTACCCAAATACCAAGCTTTACCCGAAAGTGCCCCTCTTCATGGCTGTAAGCAAAAGAAGAGGCCACTCGCAGCTGCATTGTGCTGCCATTAAGCTTCTTACTTGACTCTAAGGATGTGTCCAACAAACCCTAACACACAACCAATGCAACAGTATCACTAGATTCAAAGCCAAAAAGACCTCCTAAGACCATCAGTACCCTGGTAGCTTCCCAAGCACTACTCAAGCACACCAACTAGTCTTCAGGGAGGCAGAGGGAGGTGAGGTGGATGACGGAGGGGTATGTGGGGGAGAGGATGCTGAAAGGGGAAGAAATTCCTCATCAGCCTTCAGGACCTCGGTGACTGCTCCAGCAGACAGGAATAGAAGGAAAAATGACACCAAAGGAAGCATGGGCACAGAGGGGCTGGTGGTAATGGATGGGAAAGACAGGGACCCTGGGGACACCCGAGCAGAGCAGTTGTGCCACGTCCTCCAGGTGCCACCACCCCAGGACATCACCTGGGGGCTGTCAGCATCACTGTGCTCACCAGTGCCCTCCTCCAGCAGCGACACAAAAGCGTGGAGCTGATCCTCATAGTCCAGGCTGGATAGGTTGAAGGAAGTGGCCAGCACCTCGGTGGAGAAGCAGCCGTTCCTCCCAGTCTGAATGAGAGAGTCACCCGTGTTGGAATCCCAGAACCACAGCATGGGTTGGGTTGGAAGGGACCTCAAAGCTCACCCAGTTCCAACCCCTGCCACAGGCAGGGACCCCTTCCACTGGAGCAGCTTGCTCCAAGCCCCTGTGTCCAACCTGGCCTTGAACACTGCCAGGGATGGGGCAGCCACAGCTTCTCTGGGCACCCTGTGCCAGCGCCTCAGCACCCTCACAGGGAAGAGCTTCTGCCTAAGAGCTCAGCTCAGTCTCCAGTGTTACCAATGCCTGCTGTCATCTTTGGCTCTCAGCTGCTGCTGCCTCCCTCCATTCTGTCCTGCAACACTTGGATCCTGAAAACTTGCCCCCAGGGGCTTGTACTGCACTCTGCCATGAGGCTGCCTATCCCATCCCTTCCCAACCTGGCCCGAGAACCTTCCCAAGTGCCCTTGCTTGGCTCCTTTGTCTGCTCTGGGATGAGTGCAAGGTCCTACACCTGGGTTGGGGCAATCCCAGACACAGCTACAGGCTGGGCAGAGAAGAGATTCAGAGCAGCCCAAGGAGAAGGACTTGGGGGTGTTGGTCAATGAGAAAATGAACATGAGCCGGCTTCAGTGTGTGCTTGCAGCCCAGAAAGCAACTGTATCCTGGGCTGCATCCAAAGGAGCGTGACCAGCAGGTCGAAGGAGGTGATCCTGCCCCTCTATTCTGCTCTCGTGAGACCTCACCTGGAGCATTGTGTGCAGTTCTGGTGTCCTCAACATAAAAAGGACATGGAGCTGTTGGAACAAGTCCAGAGGAGGCCACGAGGATGATCAGGGGCTGGAGCAGCTCCTGTATGGAGCCAGGCTGAGAAAGTTGGGGCTGTTCAGCCTGGAGAAGAGAAGCTGTGTGGAGACCTCAGAGCAGCTTCCAGTGTCTGAAGGGGGCCTATAGGGATGCTGGGGAGGGACTCTTCATTAGGGACTGTAGTGACAGGACAAGGGGTGATGGGTTAAAACTGAAACAGGGGAAGTTCAGGTTGGATCTAAGGCAGAAGCTCTTCCCTGTGAGGGTGCTGAGGCGCTGGCACAGGGTGCCCAGAGAAGCTGTGGCTGCCCCATCCCTGGCAGTGTTCAAGGCCAGGTTGGACACAGGGGCTTGGGTGACATGGTTTAGTGTGAGGTGTCCCTGCCCATGACAAGGGATTGGAACTAGAAGATCTTAAGGTGCTTTCCAATCCAAACTGTTCTATGATTCTCTGACTCTGGCTTTGCAGCAGTTTCACATGAGAGCCAGATGACCTCGTGATGCTCAATTGATGCACCCAGCCATCATCAGCCCAAGCACCCCAGAAAGACTGCTAGGGCCAGCACCCATGCGCCTTCTCCCTCTCCTGCTGCCCTCACCTGACCCCTAAGCTCAGCACAGGTCATCGTAGGTGCTTTCAGGGCAGCATCAAAGCTGTAGAACTGGCACAGCCTGGCCTCAGCTCTGCCTCGGAAGGTTTTCCCAGATGGGTACCTGTTGGGAAGGAGCAGGAAAGGGAGCAGATGGGCAAGATGTGAAGGGAGCATCACCCCAGGAGCAGGCAGCTTTGCTGCTCTCCAGCTCACAGCCTACAGACATCCAGTGGGATCTTCTCATCCTTTTCTGTCACAAAGGGGGGCAGCTGGATCAGCACTTCAAAATTGGGCCACCCTGGGGGGAGAATGGGATTGTTCCCATTTCTTCCTTCCTCGGTTTCTTGCCATTCCATGAGATGGCTCCCAAACACCCTGCGTGGAGCCCAGCCTTCATCCCCACGCACTGGAATCCTTCACAGTGAACTGGTGAGAGCTGCCCTCCATGCTGATGGTGTAGGTGCCCAGGGCTGGCTCTGCACCCAGCGAGAAGGACAGGTCCACGATGCCCTGCTGCGGGCTCACCTTCTGCCACTCTGCCACAGGGTTCTTGTTGGGATCCTGCACATGGGGACGTGTAGCATCAGCTCATGGAGACAAAGACAGGGCATGGGGTGGTGCAGGTGGGTTGACAACGTCAAGGACTCGGGTCACCCTGGGCATCCTCGAAAGACACAGGGGTTTTGCCCTGACATCACGCTCAGAGCATCCCTGGGGACATCACCTCTCCAAAGGGAAAATTCCCCACCATGGGTGCTATATTATCTGAGCTCCAGCCTGGTTACAGCAGACGGAGCTGGCAGGGGGTGCTCCAGCCTGGACTGGTTGCTCAGGGGATTCCCCAGTTGGGGTCAAAGTCTCTGTAGCAATAGCCATTGCCACCTTCATTTGTGTAACCTCCCAGAGGACACCCTGTCTCGAAGGCAGGCAGAAACCTGACCCTTGGTGGGCTGGGAATCACAGAATCACAGCATGGTTTGGGTTGGAAGGGACCTTAAAGCTCCTCCAGCTCCAACCCCTGCCACGGGCAGGGACACCTCCCACTGGAGCAGCTTGCTCCAAGCCCGTGTGTCCAGCCTGGCCTTGAGCACTGCCAGGGATGGGGCAGCCACAGCTTCTCTGGGCACCCTGTGCCAGCGCCTCAGCACCCTCACAGGGAAGAGCTTCTGCCTAAGATCTACCCAAGCCCTTGTGCTTGCTCTCTGTAACTTCTCTCAACACCCGCAGCAAGGATGCTCCTTGTCCCCACATATGCTGGGGGCCCATTGCTCCTCCCAAGGGAGCCGACAGGCTGCCACAGGGTGACAACTCACCCGCACAACCACCAAGAGAATCTGCAAAGAAAGAGAGAAGCATTTAGCATGCTCAAAGCGCAGAGTTGAGCTCGTGCCTAAACCGGGGGCTGAGCCCCTCTCCTGGTTTCAGGCACATGGGGACCCTACTGCCTCCAACTCCCCCCATGCCCCAAGCCCATCTCACCTCTCTGTTGATGGCAATGAGGTTTTGATCCAAACGGACAATTCGAATCTTCACTGGAGAGAGCAAAGGCAGGAGCAGGAGTGAGCGCTACAGCCTGGGACCCAACCCTGGGGATCCTATCCCAAGAGCCTGGGAGCTCTTCCAGCTCCTCCTGCCCCTCACCAGTTTGCCCGGGCTCATAGACATCCTTGTCTGTCTGCACCAAGGGCCTCAGCTTCAGAGTTTTCACCACGACTTTCCTCTGCTCGGAGACCTGCAGGGAGCCTCCCTGGATGGAGATGTGAAGATGTGCAGCCTTGTACACCCGGGCAGGAGCACTAGAAATCTGCCCACAGGGAAACACCAGAAATGGTTTCAAAGCCTTTATTTTGGATGCCAGTGCGACACCAAACCTGTTCCTCACCTTCACCACCCCACTGACCCCTGAAGGCACCAGGGACCTGCTATGCATGGGAAGATGATGCTCCCAAGGTCTCCATACATGCTCCATGTCCCTTCACTCTTCAGTTCACTCCTGGCCATACAGATGGACCCCAGTCCCCTCCCTGTTCCCCCAGCCCGGCTATGGCAGAGGGGCTGCGACTCACACTGGGGAAGCGGGGCCAGTTCAGCTGTAGGATCTCATTGCCCTGCTTCTCCAGGGTGACGTTGGGGACTCCAAGCTGGCTCATCCAGGTCCATGAGGTGGATGTGCACTTTGCCCGGGTATGGGTAGTAGAGCGTGGAAGGGAAGAGCACCAGGTAGTGCCTGGAGAGGGAACACCTTGGCAGGGGAGGAGGCCACCAAATCCCAGTGCTTCCCTCCCCTCCAGACCCTCAAGGCAAAGGATGCCGGGGGGTTTCCAGCCCTGGATGCTCTCTGCAGGGCTACGCCTCCCAGCCTTGTACCCATGCACCCATGGATGCTGGGAAGAGCACAGACCAGAGCAGAGCCCACCTTGGGGAAGAGCTGCAGGATTGATCCACAGGGGAGGAAAGGCTCTGCTCCTCCTGCAGCTTGTGTGAGAGGTGGCATCTGCACCAGCGCAGCCCAAACACCAACCCCAGGGACAAAGCCTTGTTATGGGGACAACCACCACCCTGAACCACCCCAACAGCCTCCACAGCCATGGCAAGCACTGTCACACCACCGAGACCACCCGCCATCCCACAGGCATGGAGAGGGCTTACGGCTTTGCAGATGCTCCAGCTGTGAGATACAGGGTGCAAAGCAGCAGGCAGGGCAGGGCAGCTGCAGACCCCATCCTTAGAGGACCAATAGAACAAGGTGGTCCCAGAGGCCTCGTGCTGGGTTTTCTTCCTCTCCTCAAGCTTTCATCTCCCTGCTGGCAGCAAAAAGCCAAGCGAGGTCTGTGTGTGGGACCCAGCCATCCAGCCAGGACAATGTTTAACCACCAGACCTGAGCTTTGATGGGTTCAAGGCTCTGGGCAGCCAAACACCACTCCAAGTGGTGGGACTGCTGAGACAGCTTGGAGCTGATGGCCTGACTGCACACAGGGAGCACAGGGTCCTTCTGGGAAGCGAGATCTTCACATGTACACTGCCCCTGAGCATGTGCTTGGGACAGTTCTTGATCCAGCGAGTTGCTGCTCATGGGAAGCCTCTATTGTCCTGCTGGTGGTGTCTGTCTGGGTGGATGATTGCCATGGCTTTGCAGAGGTTCCTCTATAATGAGCCAGGCACTCTGAGAGCAGGAACGATGCCAGCCTGGAGCCCTGTGCCCTTGTTTGCTCATGGCTTGCGCATCTTGTTTGAAGACAGGAGGTGAAGGCTGATTGCCCTGCAACCAGCACTGGGGACAGCCACACGCTGCCTTTCTCCCTGCCCTACTGTCACCATGGGGTGGCTGCGTCAGGAGCTGCTCTGTTGGGAAGGAGCCAGTCTATGCCCAGAGCCACCCCTGGCTGCAGGGAACAGGCCAGGGGAGGTGGCAGATGATGGATGGGTCTGGAGGCCATGGGAAGGTCCCTCCTGTTCACCCAGCTCCAACCCCTGCCATGGGCAGGGACCCCTTCCACTGGAGCAGCTTGCTCCAAGCCCCTGTGTCCAACCTGGCCTTGAGCACTGCCAGGGATGGGGCAGCCACAGCTTCTCTGGGCACCCTGTGCCAGCGCCTCAGCACCCTCACAGGGAAGAGCTTCTGCCTCAGAGCTCAGCTCAGTCTCCCCTCGGGCAGGTTCAAGCCATTCCCCTTGCCCTGTCCCTACATCCCTTGTCCCAAGCCCCTCTCCAGGTTTCCTGCAGCCCCTTTAGGCACTGGAGCTGCTCTAAGGTCTCCCCTTCAGGAGCCTTCTCTTCTCCAGGCTGCCCCAGCCCAGCTCTCTCAGCCTGGCTCCAGAGCAGAGCTGCTCCAGCCCTCAGAGAAGCTGTGGTGTCCATAGAGATGCTTCATGTGCAGTGATGCAGACACCCCCCATGGCCATAAGGAGACGGATCCCCCTCCCCACACTCCCCTCAGCACCCGAGGCGCAGGCAGGATGCAGTGCACACACAGCACCAGGTATGGACTGTTTAATCTCACACCCTTGTCTCATAGTTCAGCATCGTGACAACGTCCCCTGGACCTGCTGCTCCTCCCCAGGCCAGGCTCTGTGCCCTGGACCCCTCCTCAGAGCTTGCTGCATCGGAGCAGCATCTCCAGTTTGCAGTAGCCTCTGGAAGAAGGAACCCAATGAGCACATGGGTGAGCCCCACTGAGAGTCACAGCATCAGGGGTGGAAAACAGCGCAGTGAAGCCCCAGCCCTGCCTGGCACATCTCTGTCACCTTCCCAGTGTGCGGGCAGGAGCCATCCAGGCAGACATGTCTTGTTACCCAGGACCAGACACAGCACCAAGCTGGAGGGAGGCAGGCAGTGCCCTGGGGAGGGGATGCACAATCACAGCAAGTGGGTTTAGGGTCACCTTGCACTGGTTTTGGGGTGCTGCCCTGTCCCCGTGCTGCACTGCTCTGCTTCCCCTCGCTCCAGGCTGCTGGGGGAGTGGCAGGTCTGGTGGACACATCCACAGGGGACAAGGGGACAGCGTGGCCCAGCCTCTGGCTCTGCCACCTCTCTTGCGGCCCCAAGGGGGTTGATCCATGTGCCTAATTACTGGTCCCAGTTGTGTTCTCCTCACACTGGGGGCTGCCTGTCCCCCTGCCAGCCCCAGCCGCAGCCCCAGTACAGTGCTGGCGCTGAGGATGCTCAGCACTCTGGTCCCCGCAGCAGCTCGTAGACATCTCAGCGAAAGCATCAACCATGGCCTGGCGGACAGTGTCGGTCAGTCTGGGGACATCCATGGAGCTCAGGCCCTGGGTTTCCACCCTGGGCAGGATTTGGATGGTGCACGTCCCTGGACAGAGAAGAACACCAGGGATGCTGTTAGATGAACCTACCGGGAAGGAGGTCTCCCCAGCAGCCTCAATGTTCCACAGAGGCCTCCAAGCCGCACATCCCTCATCCCTACAACCAGCCCTGACCATTCCAGCAATGGGGCTTCTTGTCCATCACTCACCAGAGGTGAATTTCTTTTCCTTGGAGCTGAAGAAGTCCCGGTACGGGGAGAACACGATGGGGAAAATGGGAACCTGTAGGACATGGAGTATGAGGGGTATCCATCACACAGACCCCCTCCAGCTCCTGACATGGCCCACGCTTCAGCAGGTCCCTGTGCCCTCACAGGGTGACTGTCCCTGGGGACTGCAGAACCCAGGAGACCCTCATGTCCCCATCCCACTGCCCCAGGGTGCACGTTCCCCCGCTCCATCAAGGGCAGGCGGAGGGGAACGTTGGCCTTACCTGAGCCTGCACAGCCAAGTGGAAAGCCCCACGCTTGAAGGGCAGCATGGATTTGTCCTGGTTCCTGGTGCCTTCAGGGAAAACCCACACTCGGAGCTGCATAGGGCAGGGGGAGACGTGAGCATGGACCCAACCCAGTCACCCTGGCAACCCACTTGCCCCACTGGTGCTTGCTCCCCAGCTCCCCCCTTGCTCCATCACCTTTTCACGCCGCATGGTCCTGGCTGTCTGGGAGATGACGTTGATGGCTTCTTCCCTTTTATAGCGGTCGATGAAGATGATGCCACTGAGCCAGCAGGCCCACCCCACCGTGCCCATGTATAGGAGCTCCTTCTTGGCAATGGGCACACAGCCTTCAGGGATGACCTCCACCATGCCTGGAGGATGGATGGGAGAGGAAAGGATCAGTCCATGCCCAGTGGCACCCAGCACCAAGCAGCCCTGTGTCTGTAGTGACCTGGATCATCCTCCATTGACCCAACCCTCTCCCTGTAGCACACCCATAGCCCCGAGCTCCTGTCCCACCACCTCTTCTGGCTTATGCCTACCACACTGCCCTGTACAAACCCTGGTCCTGGCCTCTCTGGGACCCCAGAGGGTGAGCCTGGTCCACCCATGCAGCACCCCAAAAGCTGCCTATGCAAGTGCTGAGCCCCCAGTCTCCCTTGCACGTACCCATGAGGTCAAGGGCAGCTTGGTGGTTGGAAACTATCACGTAGGGCTCCTCGGTGTTCAGGTGCTCCAAGCCCCGCACCTGCATCTTGATGCCATACAGGTGTTTGAGGGGCAGGACTGCAGCACGCAGGATCCTAGGGCAAGAGGAACACACATTGGGAGCAGATCACACAGAGTGGGGCTGTGAAGCTTTCCCATGCAGGGTGCAAAGCACAAGATGGGCCAGGCTAGATGTGGTATGAATGAGCACAGACTGTGTCAGTCTGTATTCAGTCTTTGCTTTTCTAAGCACATTTATAGCCTGCATAGCTCAGAGCTAACCTTGTAACATGGTTTAGTGTGAGGTGTCCCTGTCCATGGCAGGGGTTTGGAACTGGGTGATCTTAAGGTCCTTTCCAACCCTAACTATTCTATGGTTCTATAGCCACCCCCAAGGAGAGACCAGCTGCTGTCAGTAGTAGAAAGTCTTCATTGGAGCTTCTGATAAGGAAGAGCAGCCAACATAAGGGAGAAGAACAGAGTTTCTGATGCTCAGGGATGATAGGAAAGCAAGAAGAGAAGGGATGGGATGGGATGAGATGTCTGCCTGCAGCCAAGGTGCAAACCATCACATCCCAGTGAGGACTACAGTCTTTGCCCAGGTAAGCTTCACCCTGAGGCTCACCCAGTGTACAGCTGGAAACCCAGACACCAGCACTGCAAATACATAGAGCCAGAGGAGCTGGATAGCAACCAAGGGGGACTGAGTGTAGGTGGATGAGGTCTGAATAGAAGAGGAACTGGCCTCAAGCTGCACCAGGGCAGATTTAGATGGAGCTGAGGAACAATTCCTGCCCCAGAGGGTGCTCAGGCATTGGAACAGGCTGCCCAGGGCAGGGCTGCAGGCACCGTCCCTGCAAGTGTTCACACGGCGTGGAGACGAGGCCTCAGTGCCATGGGTTAGGGGTGGCCTTGGCAGCACTGGGGAACGACTGCACTTGATGACCCTAAAGGTGTTTTCCAACCCGGTTGATTCCAGGATTGTATGAAGGTGGACATGCAGAGGAACAGTCTAGATGGTTTTACAGGGATGTGGATGTCTCCATGGACTGTCCCAGCAGAGCAGCCAAAGGGCAGCACCGTGGGCACCAAGCTTTGTGCTGCAGGTGGAGGGGGAAGAAAGCAGGGAAGGGGAAACCAACTGTGCTTCATTCTGCAAAGGAAATCACAGAGAACAGCTTCACTGGACCTGCAGCATCGGGAAGAGATGGACCTTGCATCTGTGCAGATGGAAGGAGGAACAAGGAAGTGCGGTGTCCCCATCCAGAGAGGGTTGGACCGGATGGCAGAGCTGATGAAGGGTGACACTCACTATGAGAGTAACGAAAGGAACGGAAGGAGGATGAAGCAACGGGGATTGCAGCACCCACAGTGGAGGTAAAAGAGCTGGCACGCTTTTGGCATTGAAATGGGGTGCTCTCTAACCCATGGCGTGAAGAGCATCCATGCCAAGAGCCACACATCTGGCAGCGACTGCTCCCAGGGAGCCCACAGGGGCAGGAACTCAGTACCAGGGAGGGATGAGAAGAAGCCTGGGAGGGGAGAGGTAGGCACATAGGAAGAGGGAGACATGATGTTCAGAGGGTCCATTGTATCAGCAGAACACCTATCCCTTGGGAGATGCAGGCTCAGAGATCCCCGTGTCTGCAGAGAGGCAAAACACTTATGGCAATGCCCCAAAGCCAGGAGTAATGACAGGAACGTGCTCCAAGCCGGAGGCTTTGGGATTTGGAGCCTGAGGTGGAGATGAAGCTGGGCGTGATGCTCCCATGGAGGTTGGCTCTGAGGTGTTGGTGGGACAAGATAAGGCAGCGTGAGTCACACTGAGTCACCCAGGGATTTCCACTGAGCCGGAAGCATTTGCGCCAGAGCTCGGAGCACCTCTGGATGCAGCCGTG